GCGGTTCAGGCGCCTTGCGCTTTTTCGCTGACATAGCTTTCTTCTTCCCTATCGCCGCCGTCCGTCCGTCTTCCTCGTCATCATCGTCTTCTTCTTCCGTTTTCGCCACCCCATTCTTAGTGAGATTTGTTGACGCAGCAGCAGCATCGTTACTGCCTCCCTTCGCCGCAGAAGCCTTCTTCGCAGCCATAACCTTCTGGTAATTCCTGCCCAGGAGCTGTTTCCGTAATTTGTCATTCGAGTCCAATTGAGTCCGATTCCAACTTCCGTCCGCGGCTTTAGTAGGGAGTGGTGCACCAACTCCTAATCTATACATTGGATCCATTGTTAGTTTTGACATGTCCATCAATCGTTGTCGTAGCCCGTCCCCTCCGGCCAGAAGATACTCCAGAAAACAGCATAGACGGGAAAGAAAAAGGGATAAAATGAAAAGAAAATATAGAGTGTATCATACGTCTCCGGCACCGCCGTGAAAATCTCATCCTCTTCTCGCTGTAATTCCTCTTCGGTTTTCTTGCTGTTCGCTTGGTCGTCTGTAGTCGGTGCAGGTAGCCATGAGGCAACGAGACGCTGGCTTCGAGCTAGCGCTACGTTGGCCTTATTGAGGATTATGTCTGTTTCTGATTTTGATGTCGACATTGTGTCTGCTTTTTGTCTATTTTGTTATTGGGGTTTTCGGTGGTTTGATTGCTCGATATGGATGGAACTTTTTGCGATAGCAGGGCGGGATTTGGTGGCAGAATCTTGGGCGGTGGAGTGCGGGACTGCTTGCTGGAGGGTCAATAGTAAGAGGTATTGAAGTAGTAGTATTGAATGGGGTTGTTGTGATCTTGGTTATATTGGGAGAATAAACCAATCTGGCAGGTGGTATATGATGGCTACATTTCGTCAATTAGACGACTATAATTATGTGTGCATGCTCAATCTCAATCGTTTTAGGATCATCTTGCATATATAATCTAAGCACCACCATGGCGGAGCAATATATACATTCTACATCTAAACAGCAGTAGTATAGTCTATGTACAAATCTAGTCCAAACACCAAGCTAACTCACATCAATCATCACACAAGGGTATTCATAGTCGAGAAGAGAAAATGCCACTAAGCAGAGAAATGGACCGGGCATCATTTCACGCTGATTCCTGCTGATGCCGTTGCTTCAGTTTCTTCTCCGTTTTCATGAACTCTCGAATTCCCACAGGAATACTCGCGAACAAGTCATCGTCCGAAGAAGGCGCCGACCAATTGGCCTCACTGCCACCACCATCGTCATCCATGCTCATGCTGGCTGAGTGGACTTCTGCTCGTGGGGTATGCCGCATATCCGAGGCATCATTTTTGGTTGCACCCTTTGCCTTGGCTTGTTCAAGCCTGAAGGCCCAGTCTTCCAGCTCGTCTCGGAAATCGTCCCATACGCAGTGGACACAGCCACTCATGCAGCAATTGTCGGGCTCCTCCGGTCGAGGAGGGATGGCCACCCCGTTTATGGTTTTCCATGTCTTATCCGGTGCGGAGCCCGGATCGTAGCGTGAGGACCGGCCGGGACCAGCTAACCGAGTGCCGAAGACAATGGCCATCTTTTCCTGTGGTGTTTGCACCTCTGGCTTGGGCTCTTCAGTCTTGGTATCAGTTGTCGCGTGGTGTCGGTAGGGTGAACGAGTGGACAAAATATCGTAGTAATAGCCCGATAGCGGATGGGCTTGACGGGACTTGGAGTCATTCAAACTGCCCGCCTGTGTGTCTTGGACGGTGGCATATCTGCGGGTGCTGGAGCGCCGAATGAATGGGGGGACGGCACGTGGTCGGGTCAGGCGAGATGCATCGGGTATGCGCGAACCGGAAAGACAGACATGACAGCGTCTGAGGAGGGGCGAACGAATCGCCAGACAAGGAGCGTCCATGGTGAAGTTGGAGTTGCGACAAGTAGAAGAAGAAGATCGGAAAGAGGTGGCAGAAGATGAGAAAGCGGCGGTTATGTCATAATCCCGAGGCTGCAAACAGTGCAAACAGGCAAAGCAGTGGATGTTGTTGTTGATGTTTGAAGATAGCGCTTCCCACGGACGCTTCTCTATCCCCTCTGCGGAGGTTGTCTTTTCTTGATTTCGCATGGACGGCTGATTAGGTGTTTTGTCTTCACCTCTCCACGAGCCGCCACACAAGCGACCCCGGCCGTGATCCCCGTCACCGCGTCGCAAATGAACGACCCCGCGCCTTCTCAGGATGACCCCCAGCAGCGCACCAGTCAACGAATGTCCTACCAAGCTCCCACTAGAGCGAGCTTAGCCAGATCGCATCCCACCCTTCTCGAGACTGAGAATAACAAGTCCCCGGCGAAAACTATGCAGAAACCGAATCAAGCCCGAACAAGAGCGCTCGGTCTACGAGACCGCAAGGCCCTGAGACCGTCATTGACCTCGACTGCTAGCCCTCTGGGCTCCCTCAAGGGTAGCAAACAGTCGCCTGCATCGTCCCTTTCTGGCCGTCGCTCTAGCGGTCTGGCCGCTTTTGCGGCGCCTCCAAGGCGAGTCTCAACAAGGATCACTGCCTCCGATCTAGTGTTCCGGTCTCCGTCTGCATCCCAACAGAGTACAGAAAAATTACCACCACCTACCGATACCCCGGAAAACCAATTGGCATCGGAACTAGACAGCGCAACCGGTGATATAGATGCGAATGAGGCTTTACCCCAACCGTCATTCCAGGACATCCTAGACGAGCCAGATCTGCCACCGACGCCGACCCAGTTGGGCCTGGAACGGCCTCCCGGGCGGCCAAAAGGACTTCTGAGCAGCAGCCCAAGCTCGCAACAAGGAAAGTGGGGGAAAAGAAGGAATGCAGATGGTCGAGAACAAAGCCCGTCAAAGCTGAGGAAAGTTGACTATGGCGAGGCAGGAGAATCCACGGATTCAGGCCTCTTGTTGGATCGGACTTCCTTACCGGAGGAGATCTTGACGAAGCGTAAACTGAAGAACAAACTCGCTTCTGAACTACAGCAATTGAGGAACGAAATATCGGAACTGGAGACGTGGTCGAAAGACCTGGCGCAAGATGATGCCGGTGATGAGCGAGATTTGACCGGGTTAATGTAAGTTGCACACGCTTGTCGCGCCGTCAATGACTTGCCACTGACCGGCCAACAGTACTTTGTTAGCAGCAACGAATCCTCCTCAATCGACTCCAACGGCCTCAGGCGAAATCTCCATATCGTCTCTCATCTCTTCATTACTCCCTTTTGCCACCAAGGGACCCCCGAAACCCCCGCCTGAGGCCCCTCCAGTGAACCCATTTGCGCTTGGAGAGCATGCGCAAACAGAAGCATATTTAACAGCCCTTGCGCCATTACAGCTTACGGCGTACTCTGAAACCATACCTAATTCCACCCCCGACCTTGTCTTAGAGAGACATACTCTCCAGTTTTCCGCCCCGCCTCCGTTCCCTTCCAACCGCTACAAAGTATCTGTAACCTGCGACGTCAACCCAGAAACACAAACCTTGGTCTCCATATCATTTGCTTCACAGGAGAATGGAGAAAATACAAGGGCTCCAGAGGATCTACGGCGTTGGATCGACACCAGGCTTGCCAATCCGTTGCTTAAGCTAGATGTCACAGGCCTGTGCTGGGGCATTAACCGATACTGGGAGGCCATGGTATCGCGTGCCGAGTTATGGTTACACATGGAGGAACAACATGCAGAACTAATCAGTGGACATGCGAAACGGGACCATGTGACTAAATCGAAGAGCGCAAGCTCGCAACCCCTTGGCATGTCAGAACTGCGTCAAATTCTTCCGCACCTCGAGCGCACGTCTATGCTCTTCGAATCCAAGAGCGGCTCACTGAAAGTTCTTGTATCATGCCAATTAACATTGGACGAGTGGACAAGTGAGCCACAACTAGCACCAGGACTCAGCGTTTCTCTATTATCAGAGTCCGACAGCGGCTCCAGGCGCAAGGTGGATCAGGAATCCAAGCGACTGTTCCAATCCATCTTGAATCCGAACGAGAACAACCAAGCTGGAAGCAGTGGCAGCGGAGTCCCTGCTAGCGCAATTATAAGAGCTACAGACTGCGTCTTGCGCGCTTTGCTTGGTACTAACTCTAAGAACTGAATACCCACATCATTTATGATATAATCAAGTGTTAGATTAGTTGGAATAAACGGATGTCAACGGCGTTCCTCAATTTGGATGGGAAGGGAAGCGTTAGGGGGTTGTCGACGTCGGCGTCGTCGGCGAATTCGTTTAGCGGTCTTAATCAATTTATCGAATCCTTAGGGTTTACTTTCTTTTTATGTAATTATACGCTCCTGACCTGGCATCTCATGCCCGATGAATTCATTGGATATGGATTTTGTATTAGATGGCACTCACTCTGTATCTACCTGTGTGAGATCTAGGCTGTGGCAGCTGGCTGATAGTATAAAACACGAAAGTAACCCCATTAAGAATGTATGACCGTAAGATTATATGCAAGGATCTTATCAGACAAGCTGGGCTGCATGACAGTTATCCACATACAGTTAAAACTCATGTCGAAACTACGAACTAACATCTACGAGATATCGAGGTGGTCACATAAAAATATACTCCGTATATCATCGCATTTGTACACTAGCTTGCTCCGTGCCTCAGCGTGCTTCAAGTCTACCGTTTCCAAGTGGGTATTTTTTTGAGGTGAACCCGAAGCCTGAGGCTCGGTTCCCGCGTCCTTCGGTAGATAGATCGAATGGGCAAAATCGTCCGGAAGGAACATAAAGATAAAGACGACAAAGAAAAAGGAGGTTGGGGTCTTCACTTCATTCGCGTTAGGGTGGGGAGCTAGTAGCTTTCTGGAGACATGAAAATTTGGGACATTTGCATTTCGAGGGGGTTTCGGAGCTTTTTATGTTAAGGACAAAGGTGAAAACGGAAAATAGAGGAGCGACGCCATGCCACACAAGGTACTAATCCCCGACTTGAAAATTGACCCGATCATCATTAGCTGTGATTCAAGATATCTATTTCTTGGCGGCAGACTCCTCATCAGCCTTGGCCTTAGCACGCTTCTCCCGGATACCCTTGTAGCGAGCCTCGCTGCGGGCCTCACGCAGCCGGCGATAAGCAGCCTCCTCACCCTTGGGGAGGTCGTCACGCTTGACCTCGGTGACGGCCTCAGCGAGAGTGGCGTTCTTGATGGGGAGGGCACCACCGACACGGGTGGTGAAGCCCTCGGTCTTGCCCTCGGCGAAAGCAGCCTTGGCAGCGTTGACCTCCTCAGCGGAAGAGTCAAGCTTCTTGAACTGACCGCTCTTGCGGGGGAAGAGGATCAGGCGAGCCTTGTAGTCCTGGAGGCGAGCAACATTGGCGACGAGCGACTCCTTGGAGTAGTTGACACGGCGGTGGTCAACGGCGATACCGACGGTGCGAGCGAGCTTCTTGGGGATACCAGCTTCCTATAGTGCGAGAAAAAAAATCGTGTAAGCCTCCGTCCAGTATGTTCGTCCTGCCCAGTCGCCAGGGCTAATTTCCAAGCGCTATCACCAGTTTCTTCTTGTCTGGTGACATTGTCTTGCACACAAGGGACGAATTTACCTTCAGCTCAGCAAGGGTGAAACCACGGCCAGCACGGACACGGCGGTTGTACTTGACGGTAGGGCAGCGCACAACGGGGCGCAGCTGGTCAACCGGACGAGGAGCAACAGCGGCGGCCTTAGCGAGACGGGCCTCACGACGGCGGTGCTTGCGGCCAGGCTATTGAAGCAAAAAAACACATGTCAGTCCACCACGCATATAGGTGAAAAATTTTCCCATCCCGTATTCTTTTCCAAATAGGCGAGTCGCTCGTTGTAGATAGGAATCGGTTGGGTAGAAAGGATTTATTTTCGAGAGCGTACCTGGTCGAAGTGCACGCGGACACGACGCTGCCAGTCCTTGTGGAAGTCTGAAATCGAAATCCATCAGTCCATATTATTCCAGCCGGCCAGTTGAAACCCGATATATTAAACAATGTCCACCATCATATCCTTCCTCGAGCAGGTTCACTCACGCTGGTTGAGAATCTGGTTGTTGTGCTTGATCGCCTATATCCACCAAGAGGTCCCAGGTCAGCACATGAAGTCTTTTGCGCAAAAATGGCGTCCGATCATCAATTTGACAATCTAGCGACGCCATCTGAGCAATATTGGATAGAATAACGCACCATTGTGACGGATGGGGATCAAGGCCGGGAGATTGTCGTCGTCGTCGTGGGTGGTTGCTGGTCGTATCTCAAAACTCCTCGTCTCACTATTAGGTGGAACTTTTTTTGGTGTGGCCAACCGCGCAGAGCCGCATCGCCTCGCTTAGCGAGCCCTACCCTGCTTACCCGTTTCGGAAGGTCACCCCCAGACTTTCTCCGTGGCAGAACGGCTCTTGGGAACTGGGACTGCCATCCAGACTCGACTAGAATGATTGGAGTCTTATGTTAAATGTGTATCTACGCCAACTTTTAGTCTCATTGCCCGGTGGTAGGCTCACTGGCTGCTGGAGTGTTGCGACTCAGGCTGTGCTTCTACTCTTTGCGACCGACCGCCTGTATTGTATTGTTCTTCTCTTGTACTAGTTGCTTCCAGGTAAGTTCGTTGCCGTACACGCTTGTTACATCGTTACACGCTGAGTAAGACCCATGTGACTTGGCGGTTCGACGGACTTGGAAGTTATTGGGAGTCCCTCTACAAGCCATCTACCAAAGCAGTATATGGAATTATTTGCTCGACCCATTGCAGATTATTACATCAATTAACAATATCTTATTCATGATGACATTATGTCCAAATCTGCCCAACTATTCGTATTGAAGCCATCAACATACTAAGAAACCATAGAGATACTCCTTTGTGATAAGTCCCAGAACCAGTTGCCAATAAGTCGTAGTACCCTTGGTAAAAACACCCGGTGTCCCATCGGATTTTACAGTTCATCATCATTCGTCACAGACCCCAGAAAGGGAAGAAAAGTACATAAGAAACAAATTCAAGATCCAAGCAGCACCCGCTTAGAATAGCAAGCATATCCAGCCGTAACCAGCTTTGACCCGCAAAAGTGATAGGCGACTAGGAGTCGTGGCGGTGAGGAAGTAGATAGTAGATAGACAGCCAGAAGCCCGGTATACGTGATACACACGCTCCATGGTTGTGCACGGGTCATGCTTATTTATTCCAGGTGTCAATGCCGAGACCCACCCTCTCCTCCGCTTTCATTTTCTTCGAAGTCGCACCATCAAAACTCGCCTTGCGTTTAAGACCGGTCGATGGACGCTCAACACCTGACTTCCTCACTTGACCGAACAATTTGGTCTGCAACAGTGTGCTGGACTTGGGTGCATTCGCGATGCCTCGGCTCTCACGGCGGTTGCTGAAAGCGTGGGGACGAAGCATGCTGCTAGCAAGAGCCCCAGCCTCTGATGCTGGGATGTCTTCCTCCGTCTCAGCTTCCTCGATGTCGGACGCCGATATAGTGCTGTCTCGATCACGGTGGCTATCATGAGAGTCCCTGCCCGGTGTGCTATATCGGTTCCCTCCAGAGGCCATCCGAGCACGGGACGGTGTTACGGGAACGGAGGCGAGTGTGTGGTTTCCACGCATCTGGCCATCATTATGCTGCTTATAAGTACGGTTCCGGTGTGGTGTGGATGTGACACTCGGCGATCCTCGATTGAGGACACGGTCGGCAGCAAGGAGTTGCGCAAACGGGTCATGGCTATCGCTACCGTTCATCTGATGGCCATCGTGCTCCACATAGTGAGGTACAGGCCTCTGAGGAGCTTGCATTTCTCTCTGGGGGCTGGGTGACATTGGACCATGTTCAATCATCTGAGAGAAATGCTTCCGGTTGTCTCTGATACGCTCTTTCAGCAACTTGTTTTCTTCCTCAAGAAGGTCTGACCTCTCCTTCTCTTGCTCAATTAGCTTCTTAGCCCGACGCAGCCGCCGATCAAGTGTGGCATTTACTCTTCCAAGCTCTTGATTGCGCTTAAGGGCAAGCTCTAGCTCCACGTTAGAAATCTGCTGCACTGCTTTGATTTCAGGTTGGCAACGACGGCTGCGATACTCAGAGCTCTGAATGATTTCGACCTCTCTCCTAGCAAGCTGATGCTCTACCTCGGCACGCTTGATAGCTTCGTTACTAGTAAACGATAGCAGACTATTTTGTAGCTTGAAGTGCAGAGCTGACATGCGAGCCTCTTGGGCAACACTCAACAGGTCTTTAGCCATCGCTCGGAGCTTCGACTCATCGGCGGTATCGAGATCATCGGCAGTAGGAAGATTCTCTGAGGCGCCATAGGCAACACAGAGGGTCTTTTGCATATCGGGAGGAGAGGCTAGCAGGGAGCTCGAAGTAGATCTTGACCGTTGGCGCGGGGCTCCTGGAATTTGTGATGATGGCGGCGGCGTCATATCAGATGAAGGTAGCGAGGGTGATAAAGATTTACTCTGGTCGGAATGTGATACCGGGATCCCAGCGCCTACACTCAGGTCGGGTGATGCAGACAGACTTGCACGTTGCATGGGCGTTGCGGGGCCGGTGATCTCTGCAGGAGGGGCAAGGGAGCCTTGCGAAAGCTGAGAATCAGGATCTTGCGACATGACAGATATCAATATGTAGAAACAGGTAAGTGATACCCGTCGACAGGAATGTTTGACTAGAAGTAGGTCAGCATTGGCTGCATCAATGCGTTGTATTGAACAGTTGTCGTGGGGCGGTCAGAGGCATACCAGATCCGAAACACGATCGATCAAGACTACGGCTAGTTTGAAGAGCTCGCTAGGATGAAGTTGATTGTTTGAGCTCGGTTGCTGTGTAGAGCCCCTAAGGGCAGAAGCGGAAAGAAGAAGAGAGATATCCTAGAAGGAGCAAGACCACGATGCAATTGAGGATTGACTGTCACAAATCGGATGTCCTCGAGTCGCTCTATGATGGATAGCTGGGTCGGTGCGCTTATCACTGATAGGGCCGTTGAAGCACGTTGGTTGGACCGAAGCAAGGCACTTAATAGGCGATAAGGAGGCGGTAGCAGAGAGTCCCGAGCGGAAGACCTAAGATAGGGGAGTGATAGAAGACTGATGGAAGACGTTTCCAAAGAGCAAGGGGAATCGGAGAGGGGTATTGCAGATGATAGAGATAGGTGAACAAGATGAAGGAAGTAAGGAGCGCGCCGGCGGAGGGACGGTTTGATGCCTTAAGGATGTTTGTTGCGGGCGATGCGCATTTCGGGGAGGCTGGGAAGTCGCTTGCGTTGCTCAGCCTCGACCAACCACGACCAACCACCCGCTCCCACGTGAGCCCAGCCGCGCGCTAATCCTTCACTTTGCCTGATCCAGCTAGCTTCCAGATCCGCGACGCTCAGAAAAAGGTAAACACAAGCCGAACCCCATGGGCCACAGTTATCGTCACTCGGGCAACCGATGGTACTGGATTCATATTGATCTTGATTCAGTATTTAGATCTTCTTTGATAGGTTCAATGGTTTAAGTTCTATCAAACACGGCCCAACATGCTTAGTTTGCCAAGTGATTAGCAACATTCCTCTCATCTCAAATCTGCCGTATGTCTACTCAGTAGAGAACATTATGGGGCTGTGGAATGTACGCTACGTACTCGTTTTTCTGTTATTTAGCTCCCCTGGTTTGATGGGAGATATGTATGATTTCAAAAGTGGCGATTTCATATACTAGGGTAGACAATTTCGACATAGAAGAAGTAGTACTCAACGCCCGGGGATCTGAATGGGAATGATTGGGAGATGATAGGGTTACCTCTTATGTGAATGCCTGAGAGATCGGGAGTCGACTCCAGAATATGTCAGTGTGAACATCTCAGAATTGACTAAGTAAATCGAGCCTGACGATTAGTTCATCCATAAAATTAATGCAAAGCTATTGGGACAGTAGGGTCTAGATTTGCGGACACCAGGCATTCCACGTGAGTTACTTTGAGGAAGTATTTTTCTAAAAAGTGCGAGTTTGGGCTTAAATTCCAACGCTATGACGAGGAAACTTAATATGAAATGTAAATATCACTAGTTGCATGATTTTACCACTTAGAGATTCAGACTTTGGTACTAGATTAGGCCTAAGCAAAGGTTTATTCGAACCATGGCATAAGGGCCGCGGAGCCACTAGTTCTTCCGTGTACTAAAGGAAGGCTCCATATGTGAGCATGACTTACAGATGATTTCTTGCTAGTGACAGGTTCGTTTAGCGACAGGCTGAAGAAGTAGTAGTGTCCACTATCTATTTATGGAGACTGTCCTCATGGATGATAATGTCAGCGACTTGTCACATCTTAAACCATCGTGCCTGCCCTTAGCCCGTACAAGCTGCACCATGGAGCTGCTATTGCTCGGTTCACAGATAGTATAGCATAGTATATGCAAGCATTTCTTCAAGCAGAAGGAGCAAAGTATATCTCAAACCCGTCCTGGGTCTCCTCCAGTTCCATCGGGACGATCACGCCGAAGTGGGGAGCGGATCAGGGATCTGGCGGCCTCAGGCAGCAGCATATGCGGCGATTCCCCCTCGTGGGAAGTTGTAAACAATGATTCATTCCGGTCTCGAGTCCCTGAGGACAGCGCACCAGCAAGAATCATCGCTATTGCGCCCGTGTATCGCACCATCCCGGTCCTGTTACTCAAGCGTCCCACTGCCACATCCAGTCGTCATGTCACTCTACCTGTGAGCGAATTACACCAACTATAACTCTCACAATCCGCACCACCATACCTGGCACTTTCGTCCACAAGTGCTTGATCTCCATTTTCATCCAACGGAAAGATGGATAACCCACAGAAGACCCCCAGCCGACCGAGTGGCATTCCTCGCTTGGCCTCCAGATTACCTCTACCGACGTCTGCCGCCAGTAAATCCCTGCGTCCCTCCCCCTCACGCGAGAAGCTACAAACCGACCCAGGTCTCCATGCCAGTCGTTTGAGCAGACCTTCTCAGGAGCCCGTCTTCAAAAAGCCCTTACCGAAATATACGGTGCCGAAAAAGCCCTTAGGTACGCAGCGACAAGACAGAGATATTTCTCAGACAAGGACAAGCGATGCGGGGGTAACAGAACCCGAAGGGGCACCAAACAACAAATCCCTTTATCTGGAAGCCGACTATGCACCGGCTCCAGCTCATGATGCAGAGCCCCGGGGTCGCACGCGACCATCACTGTCCGAACGAACAATCGAGACTCTTTCCCAGATCCCTCCTTCCCCTAGACCGCAGAGCAGACAATCTAGTAGTTTCTTCGGCGCTACTAGTCCCATGCGCTCACCGTCTCGTCCGCCGTCTGCAATGACAAGCTATTCAAGGTCGCCGTCAAGGTCATCTTCTCGCCAACCTAGTGGAAGCGACTATCTGTCCCGTCCATCCTCGTCCATGCGTCTTCCGTCGAGGAGTGGTCCATCGTTTTCTGCGAACAGTGCAGCATCCGATCAGAGCTCCATTCCAAATACAGATAGTCCATCGAAACTGAAACCACCCTCTACTAGGATAACACCCTACGGCCGGAAAAGCGACGTGACATCCGCTTCCAACCCTCGTCAAGCACCTACCAGGGTGTCTACGAGGCCCGCAGAACCTACTGTAGATGCTCCGCAGGAACGCCTCGAAGTGAAGAAAACCCGAAAGATCCAGCAGAGTCTCTCGGCCCAGCGGCCATCCTTGATGGGTTCACGGTCGCCATCGGCAAAATCCACTTCATCAGATCTTACTCCGGAACAGCAGACTGAGATGGAAACAAGAAAGGTCTCGAAATCATCTAGCGCTCTGAGGGAAAGTATCGCAAAGGCGAAAGCCGCGCGCAAGGCTGAGGCTCAGAAAGCCACGAAGCCGATAAATGTGGCCGATGGGTTCAATTTTGATACGGACGATCCGTTCAATCAAGGTCCTAAAGATCCAAACCATGGACTTCTGCGAAAGCGCATTGATGCAGGCCGAACTTCCGGTCACTTGAATATCGCGGCTATGTCTCTTAAAGAATTGCCAAAAGAAGTCATGACGATGTACGACTTTGATACCAATTCCACCTCCGATTGGTATGAAAGTGTGGACCTTGTTAAGTTTATCGCTGCGGATAACGAATTCACGGAGCTCCCCGATGATGCATTTCCCGATATCGATGCACACGAGCTAGACCCAGAAGTTGACGAAAGGGGAAATCAATTTGGCGGGCTCGAACTTTTAGACCTTCATGGCAATATTCTGCAATCGCTACCAATAGGCCTCAGAAGGCTGGAACGGCTGCATACCCTGAACCTATCAAACAACAATCTCAGTATGGACGACATTAATGTTGTTATGGACCTAGCAACTCTCAGGGATCTGAGACTTGCCAAGAACAGGCTTCAAGGAGGCCTTACTCCGGATATCGGACGCCTCAGCAACCTAGAAGTACTGGACTTGCACGAGAACTCCTTGACAGAGCTTCCTGGAGAGCTTGCAAAATTGACCTCCCTCCGAGTCTTGAATGTGGGCAATAACCAAATAAGCACTTTACCATTCGAAGAATTGCACATGCTCCCTCTGAAGGAGCTCCACGCCCCGAGAAACAAATTGAAGGGAACTCTTTTGCCAGCTTCGGTGCAAAAGTTCGAGACAGTACAGATCTTGGACGTAGCCAGCAATGCCCTGGTGAGCCTCTCGGAGAGCGAAGGCCTCGAACTTCCCAATTTGCAGACTTTAGCAATTAACACGAACCGCATCCAATCTCTACCCGATGTTTCATCGTGGCAAGCTCTCCTGACCCTGTTAGCGGAAGATAATAGTTTATCAGAACTTCCTCGCGGGTTCACTGACCTGAAAAATATCAGGAATGTGGACTTCACTGGTAACGATATTTCAAGGCTGGACGAGAAGATCGGCTTGATGGAGAGTCTTGTCACCTTCCGCATAGCCAATAATCCCCTGCGGGAGCGCAAATTTTTGAGCATGAACACGGAGGACCTGAAGCGCGATTTGCGTAACCGATGCGAACCGGAACCGCAAGATACCGATGACGAAGGTTCTGTTGCGACTCAGTTTACGTTGGCGCCAGAAACACCGGTCCAGACGGCCTCCTGGCAAATCAAGTCTGGTGGTGTCGTCGACAGGTCCTACACCGATCTGCGGGATGTAGAAGTACAGGAGTTGGAACGCATCGATTTCCACGAAGTCCGATGCCTCCAATTACAACACAACGAGTTACAATGCTTCCCTGTTCCAGCGCTCAGCATGCTCGCATCTAACCTAGCCGACCTGGATCTTTCGAATAACCCGCTCAATACTGCATCTCTCTTCTCTGGGACCCTTTCCCTTCCCTCTCTTCAGAATCTCACCATTACCGCCGCCGGCTTAAGTACACTTGAGCCGCTACTAAATAGCCTTACTGCTCCAGGTCTCACCTACCTAGATGTCTCATCCAACCGCCTATCCGGACCGCTTCCTGCCATGCGCCGGAGCTACCCGAACCTGACTACATTACTGGCTTCTGATAACCGAATCAGTAGTCTCGACTTTGAAGCTGTGCAGGGTCTACAGGTTCTAGACGTAGGAAACAACGATATTGGCGTCCTGCCGCCGAAGCTCGGCCTGTTAAGGGCCGAAGGGTCTAGCAAGAACTGGGGCAACGGCTCGCCCTTGCGACGCTTCGAAGTGGCAGGAAACAGTTTTCGGGTTCCGCGTTGGCAGGTGGTAGCCAAGGGGACCGATGCGGTTCTCGAATGGCTCAAAGATCGTATCTCTGAAGATGAACTACGCGAGTGGGAATCGGGCGACGAATCGAACGATGAGTAAATCTGCAGCATAATGTGAGATTAGGTACAACTAAGATCGAGGAGATCTGCTTGGGAGGACACTTGATTTCGGCTTCTTGACTCATGTATATTATACCATCTAAAGCGCACATACATACAAAGCATTGGTATCTAATAAATCGCAACCTGATCGTGCCTATGTACTCTCCCGGAAGACCTCACTGCTGCTACATGAACATATAACTCAAAACCTATCCTGGGGTTCAATTATGAAAGACGTTGCGCATGCCTATTCACTGCGTCGCATCGATAACAGACTTGCTAACTTGGTCCATGACCTTCAGCCAAGTCCTGGCCCAAGTGGTGAACTTGTCCTCCTTCTCTTGCGGCGCATCGGCAGAATCAGTTACATCCAAGGGAAGACTAGCTAGGTTGACGGCCTTGACGGCGCAATCCTTTGTCTTGCGCATGTATTCGAGGGATTTCTCTGTGTTCGCCTCGTACAATGCGCCGGCTACCTCGTCAATATGGCCAGGAATCTGCTGCAAGTATTTCATCAGGGATTCCAACTTGCCGACGAGTGATGGCGAATCAGAAGTTTTCTTTAGTCGGTTGGCCGTGATGGTGGGGTATATCTGGGAGACCGGTTTCAGGATCCGGAGAGCCGACTTCTTCTGCTCGTGAAGAGCCGCCGTATCCTCATCATCATCGTCATCTTCATCCTCCTCGTCATCCTCATCGCCCTTGCCCTTCCCGTCTTCGCTCAAAAGGTCATCGAAGAAGTCATCGCCCTCCTCATCGGGATCCCACTCCTCGATCTCCTGGACCGCATCCCGTACAAGATCTCTCCATTCCTCCACACGTCGAACCACAAACCCGACCACACCCTTCGCTGCGATATCAATCAGGACATCGCAGGAGTCCCACAAGCGCCCAGCCGCCACCGTGACCGCATCCTTCTCTGACTGCGACAAGCCGGCTTCCTTCTTCTGGGCATCATCCGCCTTGTTCGCAACCGTCTGGACCTCCTGAAGTAGTACTGTCGTTTCTTTCAGTGTTGTTTGGGTCAGAGCATGCACTTCGGATTGGAACGCCTTCGTGTGATGGGCCGGGGTGACGAGGAGTGCTGCGGCGACCAGGGAGGGCAGCACAGACTCATTCAAGGCGTTGATAACACTGGTGACAGCGGAGGGGGTGAAGGGGGAAGTAATCGTGAGGAGCGAGAGCTTGGTGGCTTGCGATTTCAGGGTTGTCGACGCAGCGGAGAGGAGGGGTAAAGCATCTTTTGCGGAGAGGTCGGTGGAAGAGGAGATATCGCTGGAAGGGGATGCAAGGGCACCCTGGAACTGTTCCAGGAGCGTCAAGCTCGTCGTCAAGGTGGATTGGAATTTCTGCGACATTTTAAAGCGATTGCGCTGTTAGGATCGAGCCGGTTTGTTGACTGGCTTATTGGAAGGAAAGCGATGCGGATGGACTGGACGGGCGGAGAAATTTGTTGTTGCTGCGGGGCGCCTTCAACTTTCCTTCTGATTAGGGTTCTGCGGGGTCACCTGCGGCTGGTTGGTTTGTTCCGCGGATGTGCCTGATATATGGATTGATGATGATGTCGAAGATGATATTTATTGGGGTTCGAGGTACAAATAGGCTTATATGTAATTAATTTGAGCATTAACTAGTAGTGGTATGATTGTAACTTCCAGCACTACACGGATGATTATAATTGCCTATGTGACTATGGCGGATAATCTGTTGAAATATATAATGACCAGACGACATAAATACAATCATCCTCAGCAAATGTAGTTTCAAGTTTCCAGTGACCCTATATTCAATTGCCTCATAGGACCAAAGAAACTACAAATTCCAATCCTTAATACCCCCCCCACCCCCTTCTTTACTCAGCATCCATTGCCTGACGGCGTGTCAATACTAACCATGGAAGATAACCCTCCGGACTTGAGTATGAACCATGACCGACACATAACCGACCACTACGATGATGAAAGCAACACATTTATCAGATATTGCAGGCACAGTAGTAAAACTCACCAATTTGATACCAAGGCATTCCATGTGAACGTAGATATAATATTGTACTCCCTGAGCGACCAAAAACCATGCCCTAAGCCTGTGCCCTCATTTACCGATTTGGAAGCTCGACAGCTTGGCATCTCCGATCGCCGACCGAAAGCTCCGTCGCGACCATCTTGGTTTTAGTCTTGTCTGCCTTTCTCCATCTCCAGCAACCCCCTCACCAGTTATTTCCCGCGCGTTTCACCTCTCTAATCAAAACCGCCCATGCCCTCTGCGTCAACTCTAATGACCTAACCCCCTTTTCCAGATATGGGCACCACCAAACCTCGCCCTTCCGGCCGGGCCTCCGTCGCCAAGGTCCAATCTCTCCCCGACAAGACATTCGTCATCGATAATGGCGCATACACCTTGAAAGCCGGCTATGCGCCGGACTCTGCACCTCCAGAGGACCAATCGAAAGCGCTCGCAGCTTGCACCGAAATTCCAAATGCGATCGTCAAGACCCGTGGCAACAAGATCTACGTCGGCTCTCAGCTGAACACACATGTGACGGACTGGAACGAGATGATGTTTCGTCGTCCCGTTGAGAAGGGCTACATTGTGAATTGGGAGGCTCAGAAGGAGATTTGGGAGCATTCGTTTTTTGATGAGAAGACCGTGCGCAGTAAGGATCTGCGGATTACGGATCCCGAGGACACGACGTTGTTGTTGACGGAGGCGCCGAATGCATTGCCGGCGCTGCAGAAGAATGCGGATGAGATTGTCATGGAGGAGTGGGGGTTTGGAGGGTATCTTAGATGCGTTGGTAAGGATGCTAGGTGGTCGTACGCTGACTGTTTGGAGAGGGTGATTGCTAACGGAGACGCGTATTGCATTCAGGACCATCGATGAACGCTTGGAATGATGTCCAGTCGCTGTTCGGGGATCCTATTGTGCAGGAGGCAAACACAACGGTGTCTCCAAAGGAATGCTTATTGGTGGTCGATTCGGGTTACTCTCACACCACCGTGACACCGATTTACAAAGGACAACCGCTTCAACGTGCCATTCGCAGACTCGACCTTGGTGGCAAGCATCTTACGAACTACCTGAAGGAAATGGTTTCAGTACGGCAGTACAACATGGTGGACGAGACTTATATCATGAATGAGGTTAAGGAAGCTGTTTGTTTTGTTAGCAACAACTTCGTCGGCGACATGGAACAGACGTGGAAAGGCAACCGCAAACGCGGCCTGCCGGACCCCAGCGAGGGGGTGATGGTGGACTATGTCCTTCCTGATCCCAATGCAGGCAAGAAGGGCTTCATGCGACCGCATGACGCTCTCTTGAACGCCAAGAAGAGGAAAGGAGGATTGTCGGGGGCCAGCGCGGAAGCACTATCGGAAGACGCTCTGGTCTTGGGCAACGAGCGCTTCGCTGTTCCGGAGATCTTGTTCACTCCCAGCGACATTGGCATGAAGCAGGCTGGCATTCCGGATATTATCATGCAAAGTCTTTCTGTTTTGCCTACCGGACTGCATCCCGCGTTTCTGGCCAACGTTTTGGTCGTCGGTGGCAATGCGCTACTCCCAGGATTTGTGGACAGACTGTAAGTGTGGCCTTGATATGTTTGGCGGACTGGCATCTTGTTGCTAACTGGGTGGCAGGGAGTCGGAATTGCGCCAACTGGCTTCCGCGGAATGCGCTGTCCGGGTGAAATGCCCGCAAGAGTAAGAGCTGCTGCCCTACTTCCTGACTACTGTCTCTTCGAACTACGAGCTGATGATCATAATCTTCCTATTCACAGTCCGATTCGCTCCGCCTGGTTGGGGGCGTCCCGATTTGCTACTAATAAAGACGAACTCCGGAAAGTCGCCATCACCCGGCAAGAGTACCAAGAGCACGGTTCTTCTTGGGCAAGTCGGAAGTTTACTGGTGCTATATAGAGTTCAGCGGGCAATGGCTGTCTTGTGGAGTTCAGGATTTTGCATTGATTGGAGTGTTACGGGGTTTGATGAGGGATGCTTGCTTTCCCTGCTTGCTTGCCTGGGTGCTGTTCGGTGTTTGTCTTCATACTTTTAGCGATTCTCTGTGATACCCTCGAACATGTTGGCCCATCCCAAGCCAGTGGAATTCATAGAACAATGTCATTATGTCATTTCTCATCGGGGATGGGCGATGATGGTTTATCATTGCTCAGAAAAATGGTGAGAGGTAGAAGCAGCGCTAGTAGGTCTTCATGCACTGTTCGACCGCGCAAGAGACCAAGACGTTGCACCGACGACCAGTCTTCGGACTGCTGTTGGGCAGTGGCTAGTTTAGTTTGGTGACGATCGGAAGGAAGGAAGGTGAGCGAGCGAGCGAGTGATTGTGAGTCATGGAGGGGATTGGGGGAAAAGAGTAGTAGTTTGTTGCGGTGAGGCTGGGATGGGCTTTTGCTTTGCTACCTGATCTTCTTTTCCTGCTCGCCCCGCAGTCGAACACGTCGACAACCTCAACCGACGGTCAACCGCATGGTCGCGCTCCATGCGCCAGCTTACTGTCTTTTCTTCGTCTATCCCGAATTCCGGTCGCCAATAGTCCTCATCTATCCCTTCCGTATTCTCGCGGTTGGTCGAGGAGACTAGCATGGACCAGGTGGTGCCCCGCTGCTCAAGGTCACCCTACAGCTGCACACGGACGAATGATGTCAAAGTCTCTAGCAGCAAGCGTTGTCTGAGAGGTATCTCTAGCAAATAATGGGCGGTGGACATGTGGCATTCGACTGCCTTACCCATGGCATGGGTCGCTTAGTTGTCGCGCGATATACCCACCCTCCTCTTGTCTGGCTCTCTGGTCATCCCGGATGATATGCCGAGCAGTCCAACAAACAACCCGAATGATGTCTATAAAGACCCTGGCAGCTCTCGCGCCGGCTGCCGGCGATTTTATGCTAGTTATTATCTCCTACCAAACTCAATTTACACCATACATACATATCTTCAGAACTACAACTCCATTCCAAGCCTTGCCATCGACCTAGTATTATGTTACTACTGTCCATTGCTCGTTGCTCGTGCCCTACTCTCTAAAGTCGAAACCAGCGATTATGGATTCCAGCGTCCCGGAATTGCACCCAGCAATCATTCAGTCCGATCTGCTCCTCCCCATCACCGACCCCGTCCCCAAGTGTACGACCCTCAACCGCTCTATCTCGTAGGTCAGCCAGAAGGAATTACAGCCACTGAAAGAGAATCCTTGCCGGAAGTCAAGATGACCGCCTTTAACGTCAAAGATCTGGCTGCGCGTGCTGCCCAGCGCCTCGCGGAACACCGCCAAAAGAGCGAGGCCCGCGGCAGCACTTTCAGCACGGAGCCACTGCCAATGGACCGTGTCTCGAGTCTGGACACCAATTCAATGAGAACCATGTCACATAGCGAAGATGAACACCGCCACAAGTCGAAGATGAGTCGGCTTGTGCAGAAGGTTCGAGGGCGGTTCTCGAAGCGTCTTGCGAAGAGGGAGGTAATCGACGAGTAAGTGTCCCATCGAGATATTCCATCCAAGCCTTTTCTTATGATAATGGCGCTAACTCACTCTATAGACCCTGCGCATGCTGCTTGGATATCATGCCTGCGGAGTGCCTGATCAGCATGCCGTGTCAGCACAAGTACTGCAGCAGATGCTTGAAGAAGTTGGTGTTCACAGTTATGCCGGAGGAAGGACTGTTCCCACCCAGATGCTGCAAGCAGAAGATCCCGACAGAGGTCATCCTCCCCGTGCTGACACCGAAGGAGAGGACGGTCTATTTTGCCAAGGTGCAGGAGTATGCGACCCCAGCCAGAGAACGCTGGTACTGTCCTGCGCCGACGTGCGGCCGGTTCATCCCACCGAAGCATCTGAACAGCAAGCTCTCGTCCCAAAGCTGCCCATACTGCAGCACGACGTTCTGCTCTGGCTGCAGATGCCCGGAGTACAATAATAGTACTTCGACTGGGAAGAAAGATCCGGGCTTTATGGCCGTCTTCGAAGATCCGCGACTCGGCAAAGCACAGAGGGGTCTCAAATGTGGCTCTTTGGTGGACCTCTTGTTCAATTGTGATCACGTTACGTGTCGGTGCAAGGCACAAGTCTGGTAGGTTCCCCCTTCAGCTGCCCACACAAGGTGTATCTAGATATCCTAACCGAGAAACAGTAACCTCTGTCGCAATCCATGGCTATCGTGCACTTGCGCCAAACCAGGTCAACGTCCCATCGACTTCCTCACCTTCATCATCGGCCACAGCGGCGTGAACAAAGACCAGGAGGCCGAACTCGCCGCAGTGGTGGCTGCTATCCTATGCAACGAAAGGTTGCGGGATGAAGAATTGGCAAAGACCCAAAGCGGCATGAAGGAAAAGGCGGGAGGCGCGAACACAAGTCGGGCAAGTCTGCTGATACCACAGCAGGCGACTCGGGCTAGGAGGGTTTCCTAGGCTCTGAGTATTGGGTGGAAAGGAACCAGATTGATTATTTTATCTCCAACTCGAGGGAGGCATTCTGTTTTTCGAAAATGTATCCTGGCGGCACACTCCTTAACTTTTCCTTTGTCTAGTCGTGTTCAATTAGCGTGTTATGATTATGAGAATGAATTATTGACTCTATATGAATTTATTGTCTGGTTTGTAAGGGTACGAGGAATAGTTAGTATATGAGTCGTGACTTGTAGCTGGTATAAGTGTTGCTGAGACACCTTAATGGTCATGTATGCCTGGGTGTACAACGTTAATGCTGAGTGCTGTCTTTGCTGCATGCAGTATGGCTACTTCTCGGTCACTGGAAGTAAAATGTACATGCAATCCGAATCAGTCATTAGCAAGACACACCAACCCGGGGTACATAACATTTAAGACATCACAGCATACAAGGGAGGGATATCGCAACGTTCGCTTGGATAGATACAGAGTTTATTGTATCAATCAGTCAATTAATAGTCGTAGAAGCCCTTTCCAGACTTCTTGCCCAACCACCCAGCATCAACCATACGTTTCAACAGCCCGGACGGCCGATACTTACTATCACCAGTCTCCTGATGCAAGACATTCATGATAGCGAGACAAGTATCCAGACCAATAAAGTCCGCCAACACCAACGGTCCCATAGGCACATTTGTGCCCGTCTTCATGATGTTATCAATATCCTCACGACCACCAACACCCGTCTCTAAACAGATGATCGCCTCATTGATATACGGCATGAGGATCCGGTTCGCCAGGAAACCAGGCGAGTCCGCAGAAACAGAAGCGACCTTGCCCATACGCTGAACGAAAGCGATAGCGGTATCCTTTGTTTCCTGGGACGTTTGCAAGCCAGCAATGATCTCTACGCCCTTTTGCACGGGGACGGGGTTCATGAAGTGCGTGGAGATGACGCGCGAGGGGGCCTGCAGGTCCCTGGGGTCTGTTGTGGTGGCGGCTGCGATCTTGGTGATGGAGATGGAGGAGGTGTTGGTAGCGAGGATGGCATGCTTAGGGGCGATCTGGGCGAGTTTTGAGAAGATAGAGGTCTTGAGGTCGGGGATCTCGGGGACGGCTTCGATGACGAAGTCAACGGTGGAGAGGTCGTCCATTTTCAGACTCGTGGTGATGCGCGCCCGGGCGGCGTCGGCGGCGTCCCGGGTGAGACGTTCTTTGGATACATCTTTGTCGAGGAGCTTGTCTGGAGGAGTGAAGTGGTTTAGTTTGATGAGGCTGGGATGGTGGTGAGGAGTGCTATGTACCGGCAAACTTGAGGCCCTTGTCGATGGATGCTTGGGAGTTGTCGATTAGGGTCACTGGGACTTGGGCTTTCTGGGCAGCTACTAGAGCAATCCCTAATCCCTATAGACTGTTAGTTGCCTTGATCTTATATGCTGGAGCGAATATGGTATTGTCAGGGTCACTGACCATCTGCCCAGCTCCTATCACACCCAGCGACTTAACCTCGGCAGCATGGACGGCGGAGGAGGTGCTGAAGGCCCGCGAGGCCATTGAGGGGGCCCGGTGGCAGAGAGAGCGCAATGTTGAAGATAGCATTTTGTAAACTTGCGTACAAAGACTCTCGATACAGGATACAGAGTAGATCTAGCAACGAGGGGAAGTAGTAACCCGATAGTAAATAGAGGGCCGCACGGAGATGCATCGGGCCTCGGCCAATCTCATGTGATCCGACGTCATCGGCTACCCGCGGCTTTCTCGGCTGATTCATTTATCCGGGACATCCAGAGGCGGTGACACGTCGACGCGTGAATAACGCGCCATTATTGGTTGATGGCCAATTTAGGGGTGCGCGTGCAGGATCACCAAGCAGATGATGATAGTGAGAAGGAGGAATGATACAAGGTGTGCAAGCCCAGCATGGAAAACGAAGAACCAGTGCTGTCTGCACCGGATGTGCAGGTAGTGGACCCGGATGTCCGCGCCCATGTTTATAGTCTTGTCACTGCCGTGAGTAAACTCCCTTCTAGGACTGAATGATAGGATAGGAACACAGCTGATTACTCGCTTATAGTTGGGTGGTTTCAATGGCGAAGATGCAGACAAATATGTACTGGGAGATGACGCTCTGGCCTGTCTCCGGGACATCAAACGCTGGCTGAAGCTATACGATGAGAAACACAACCGGATGGATGTGGCACGATGCCTGGGAGAAGCCAATCTTGTCAACGGAGATTTGCTCCCCATCCTGGCAGTCTGGGCGAGTAGCAAGAAACAAACCAAGTACATGTCTAGGATCGCATTGGCATGCTGTAAGTAATTTTATGTGCCACACACCTTTGCGACTATATCTAACAGAGAGCAGTAGAGCTGCTTGTCCCTTTGACATGGCCGGTAGAACTACACGGGGAATTGACAATCAACCATCATCGGCATATACCATACATACAACATGTCCACGTTTCATACAAGCGAGGCCTACTAAGTCATGCTAGCACCAGCTATCTTCGAACTATCATTCGCATCGGCATTCCGAGCATGGCCATCCCACGATCCGAGCGAACGACCCGCGACGAAGGCATCCTCAAATTACTACTTTATCTCCTCCGGAACATCGCTCTGATAACCCCAAATACTCGCCTCGCGGCGGAAGGCGACGAGGAGGAAACCTCGAGATCTGCAACAATCAACGCCTTCCAAGATCAGGATGTCTTCGCTCTCCTTCTGACTATGTGCTCCAACGTTGGGGACGACTTCACCATGCAAGATGTTGCTCTTCTGGAGATATTGTTCCATCTGATTAGGGGCGTTAATGTGGAGAAGCTATTCATGGATGATGCGCAACGAACAGCGAAACGGACGGACGAGCTAGACGACCTGCTGCGCCAGGAGTCGTCTTTGCGGAGAGAGTACGCGAAGAACGCACCAACTCGACATGGACGCTTTGGGACCATGATCTGGGTCAAGCGTGATGACGCCAAGTATTCGACCGTCTCAGGGCAGAACGTGCTCAAAGACGGCCAGGCGACTCTTCAAAAGATGGACGAGACCAAGAAGTGGAACAAGCCACTAATTCGGCGAAAGCCACAAGATTTGACTGTGCACAATGATTTCAGCACTCCGGTCCACCTGAACTCGACTGCCTCCAACAATTTGCGGATGTTTGTGGAAGAGTTTCTGGACTCTGGCTTCAACCCCCTTCTCACTCATGTACGAAAGGCAATCGAACGTGAAGCAGACCGTGTCATGGACATCAACACGCGCCAATTTCTCTACACTACTGCCTGGTTTCTCGAAGCGGAGCGTGCACGTCGGGCACGCCAACGCAAGAAGCATGCAGAGAGCGAAAAGCCGGCAAAGGAGCTGGAACCCGATAGCTTTGGCCTAGTTGCGGGCGTCCTGAATCAAGAAACGTTCGTCTTCTTGAATCGTGCTATGCAGTATGCGCTGGATAACAAGGACTGGGAAGATCTCAACGCTGGAATGCGCTGCTTCACCCAGATATTGTTGACCGTGCAGGATATGGCCCAGTCTCCGCTCGAAGAAGACCAGGAGATCGCTGAAAATATCCAAAATCGTATCTTTTACGAGGAGACAACCCATGATCGCGTCCTCGCTGTTATTCGAGGATACAAGGATCAACCGTTTGGGTATCTGGATGCGTGCACTGAACTCACTCACGTCTTCTTGCGAATGTTGGAGCGTTATTCGAAGGAGAACCTCGATATGCAAGTACGATCTCGGCGACGTGCCAGACGCAAAGCCAAGGATGTCGAAGGTGCTGGTAACGACGAGAATGATGAAGAGAATGGCTCCGAAGATGAAGATCGCATGGAAGCAGAACGAGTGTCCAAAGAGCGCAAGTTCGATTTCAGACGGTTCGCCGCCAAATTCTGCAATCAGAAATGCGTTGACACCTTTGTTGCTTTCACCAAGCACTACAAGGAGTTGAACACTGAGCAGCTAAAACGCGCCCACCGTTACTTCTACAGAATTGCTTTCAAGCAAGAACTGAGTGTTCTGCTATTCCGACTCGATATCATCAACCTCTTCTACCGGATGATTAAAGGCCCAGGCGCCTTGGATTCGAGTAAACCGATCTTCAAGGAGTGGGAAGAATTCGTGCGCCAGATTATCCGGCGATTGACAAAGAGGCTCGACCAACGGCCTGCCCTGTTCGTGGAGCTGCTGTTCAGTAAGATCAACGCGACTACATTTTACCTCGAATATGGTCACGAGCGGCAGACAGTCACCCGTGCCAGGAAGGCTCCAGCAGAATTAGAGATCGACCCCCGACAGGCACATACAATTGAAGAGAAAATCAGCATCATGGTGCCTGCATTGGTTTTGGATGGCGAGGAAGATCTGGTCAGTTGGGTCAGCGATGTGTTGGGTTCGGCAGTTGAGGAGAGGGAGGCTTGGGAAGCCCAGGAGAAGGCCCTGCGAGAGGCGGGCGCAGAGAGTTCCAGAATTCCCAACCCTATGATTTGTATGTTGTTATTCCCTTCCATCTGAACTATGAACTAACATTTCTGCAGCTGTGAATGCGCGTGACGATGCATGCCAACAAGCCATGTTCTCTAACGCGAAGCTCCGTCTTCTTATGACCCTGGTCAAGTTTGAACGACTTGGTGCCGAGGACGTGCCTGGAGCAGCCTGGGTCATTCCTTCCGCCCCAAAGGCTCAGGATCTCAGGGAGATGAAGTCATTTATCGACAAATACTTCGAGAAAGCCAAGCGAGGAACACTTGGACGGGACCCCCGTGAGCTGATCCGACGGAAATACGGTGGTGGAAAGAAGTCGTCAGACAACCAGTACAACCCTGATATTCACTTTGGGGATGATTCCGAGGGCGAGGACGAGGTACCAGACGGGCCTTTGTTCCCGCCGAACCCTCGGGCAGCGCCAAATCCAGCCAAAAAACCAACCCAGAAGAAAAGGCGGAAGGAACGTAACCCAGATGATGAGGATGAGGAGGACTCAGTGGATGAGGAGACCTTGGAGGAGCGTCGCCGGGCACGCTTGGAAAATAGCCGAGCTCGTCTCGCCAAGATCAAGAGTGATCTGTATGTGCACGCGAGTGACGAAGACACCGACGAAGAAGGAGACAAGGAGTTCTTCCTTCTGGAGGAGCAGAGACGTAAAGAACAAGCCCAGCGTATCAAGCAGGCACTACTTACCGGCATGACCGAGGACGGAGACGGTTCAACCAATAAGAAAGGTCAACGCAAGCGCCAAACCACTCGCACCCGGACAGGTGAAGCCAAGAGCAAGCGGCAACGACGTGGGAAGCAGACTGACGAAGTGGACGAAGATGACGACGTCGTGATGGGGAACATGGATGCCCCATCGCCTATGTCGGATAAAGAGGGCACGCCATCTGAGGAGGCGGACGATGGCTTCAATTTCGATGACGATTTGGTATTCAGTCGGGATCGAGATAAGCTGTTGGGTTCTGCTGTGAACGAAGACCAGGACTCGAACAAACCTGATGAAGCAATGGCGCAGGACGAAGACGATGATGACGCACCGGTTGTAGCAGCAAATCGCAGACGCATGCGCGCGGGCTTCGTGGTGGATAGTGACTCGGAGTAGAACGGGTGTCTGCTCTATTTACTTTCATGGCATGATGACTTGATGCGGTGTTTGGTGTCGAGCATGAATATAGGCATTGTTTGAATTGGCATCTGTATGTATAAAGATTAGCATGCATGGATAGACAATGCATACCCTTGGTTTACTGGGCAATAATGGAAAGTTCCTGCCCTCTGATTTTAGAAATGGTGAAACTGAGGGTCCATACAATACCCGGCTTTATCCACTCTCCTAAACTGTTCAAAAAGCGTTATCGATGTGGTCTTTATAGTGAGAAAGGGCTGCAGCGAAGTTGCCTGAATGCACGTCCTCAACGCTATTGCGCCCTAACTATTCCATACCTCTAGGAGTCAAGTCTTCTTAGCTTATCAGTGAGCTAAGCATCACACCCACATGCGTCTTGGATGCTGATGAGGATATTGCTCCCTGATCACGGGATCGATACGTGAATTCGAAGACAAGATATCCCGTGTCTAAGTGAATACGGTGGCGACGCGCGTTCCTATTCCTACTTCACGCAACTTGTTATAGTTGCTCAAAACCCATAACACAGTAAGCCATTTTCTATGCTTTGCAGTGCAGATGAAGCTGGCCTCCAGCACTCTCGAATCACAGTTCTCACCTTCCCAAGATCCAGCGCCATACTAAATTCGTGATGCCTGATCGGGTAACTCGCAGATCCCTTCTTGCCAGTTCTTTTCAGGTTCTCAAATGTGCATTTAAAAGTCGTCGTAGCCGCTCAGGCAACATGAACACTGAAGCCAGCCACAGCAACCGCACCCATGACAATCTTAGCAAAAGCACAATCAACGATTTGACCTGTCCTCCCCCAAATACCCCCGAGTCACCATTATCTGCCACAGAAACTAGCTCATCGGCATCCACACCAACCAAGAAGCTCCGTTCCGTACGTGGAGAACGAATCAGGCGAGCAGTGATGCTACCTTCAGACACGACAGATGCTGGAAAGCCTTCCACTCAAGCCGAGGAGGAAGGACAAGGACATCTTGGAGACTGCAATGAAGAATTGATCTCCGTATCCCAGAAGGAGGAGGAGGAAAGACGACCTCTGATCCTGCATGAGACCTCGTTCCCTGTCTCTCATCAGGCTACGGGTGAAAAGGCTCACTATGCCAATTATTCTAGACTTCCCACTCCTGTCAAGCCACCGACGTCAAATCTGTATTCGCATGAGATGTACCAGCATGAAGGAAGACGGAGTGTGCTTTCCTCTTTGGGGGCACCTCATACTGCTGGAAAACGGTATGGCGGAGGGGATCTGAAGTCCGGTTCATCAGAGGATATTCCTGGAGTATGCAGCAGAAGCAACAGCATGCATGATGGCAATACAAAGGCATCGGAGCAGAAACCATCAGGCTTACCACTCCCGCAGCGAGGCCACAGCAATGAGCGAGTCCAGCTGAGAAGAACAAATGTACTTCCGGCTTCAACGCGCGACCATGGCAGCAGCAAGCCAGACAATGCCCGCAAGACGCTTCCAGTGATGGTTACCGGTCGACCGTCAAATCGGGTATTGAGCCGGAAGGAGTTGTTCCATAGTAAAGCCGAGATGGAGGCAGATCCAAACTCAAGCTCAAGCTCAGATCCTATGAGAACCCATGCAGCAGATGCGCCCCGGTCATGCTCAGGAGAGCACCACACAGACAGCCAGCAGTTCTTGCGGTTGATACCAACTGAGGACAATATTGGTCTTGGCTTGCAAATTCAGGCACGCGATCATCATTCAGATGCAACGCCCACATCCGAAGCAGAGTCGACGAGATCGAGTCCAAGGGCACTGCCGAGGCGGGTTCGGTTAACGAATAAATTCGAGAACCTGCGGGCACAGAATGAGAGAAAGGAGAAGAAGGAGGAGAAGCAGTCTGGAGAGGCAGCAGCGCAGTCTTTCCTAAAATTGAACTGACCGAGCAACTCCATCGACTCGCCCACTTCTCTCTCTTTGTGAGGTGCTGTAAGGTCTGTCCGGCTTGCACAATGAAGCCTCCAAGCATGTATTAAGCGGAGGTACAAATGAGATAGGTTTAATATGAATGAATTACAATGCAAACCGAATATTTAGCTTTCCCTATCCTTCAATAGATACAAACTAAATAATTCCATTGATGGGGACGAAGTAGGGATTGCAATGGACGGCCTGCCTTAGGCATGAATCGAGTGAATCCGGGAAGATTGCCGAGTGGATCTCTTCCAAGTACGCAGTGGAGTCCATCCACTCCATCAATCTATCTAGTTAGCAGCTAGGGTTCCAGACATGGAGCTATTATTCAGGGTTTCACCTCACTAGAACATCAGGTTTCTCGTGTTAGTTTTCTCTACTCATCTTCTACTTTCTCCTACAACAGTCGCAGGTCTTCATTTTTAATATTCGTGAATCTTGTCCCAATGTCGTCCGAACATAAGACGGCATCGAGGATCCTGAGCTTCCCAGTTGAAGTGTTACATTTGGTCTTCGAGCTACTTTCGCTGGCTGAACTGCGTACGCTTAGTCTTGTCAATAAAGAGCTGCGCACTCAAGTTGAGCCATTCCTCTACGCAAACATCCACTGGTTTTGGCAGGAAGCTCCTTCGCCTCCCCCGATCACTCAACTCTTACGCACAATCTCATGCAGGCCACATTTGGCTGCATACATCACAATTGTTCACTTAGACGGAATGCGCATCAGAGGTCGGAATATTGCAGGCTCTCTTTACACTATTCCCATTTCCAACTCCGAGTTGACCGAATACACTGCATTCGTCCAGGGAACTGGAGTACCCTACAGCGACCTCTGGATACGCGAATTACATCAGGGCACTATTGATGCTCTTCTTGCCCTTCTGGTAGCACAACTTTCGAATCTCAGGAGCTTGTATCTTGGCCCGATTTTCACTAAAGAAAGTCAGTTTGTCGGGATGGTTCTCAACTCAGCCCTATGCAGACCTAAGACGTACAGGCTACCTACCTTTCAACATCTCCGTGATGTGTCTTTCCACCGCGTCGTGGGAGACGACGGCACAAAGCCCAAAGTGACCCCCCGAGATAGAAGCAAGAACACCGCCAATGTCTTACCATTGTTTTATCTCCCGAACGTCCAAAGCATGTCCGTCACTGTCGAAAACCCGGATGAATTCACATGGCCTGCAGCGCACATACCTGAGCCTTCCAATCTTACCTCGCTTGATTTGACCGCTGTACGGGAAGCCTATCTCGGTGACTTGCTGTCAGTCACGCCAAACCTCAAAACCCTTCGCTGGGCCTGGTATTACGACTACGGCGTCGAGGATGACTTCGTTTCGCCTATCGTCAATCTTGAGAGGGTCGCGGCCGCGTTATGTCATGTTCGAAGTACTCTAACGGATTTAACAATCACAGCTGATGCCCCAATTGGAGGCAATGAGCAGTTTTATCCCGCTGTCAAGATGGAGGGCTCGCTGCATGCCCTCAATAATTTCGACGAGCTCAAGAGACTTCGGATTCCCCTGGCATTCCTCGTAGGGTTTGTCGAAGACACAACAAAGAGATTGCAGGATGTGGTCCCAAGGAATATCGAATATCTAACCATTACGGACGAGTTAGGCCTACAGAATGATGGCGGAGATTATAATAGTGATTGGCCGATCTATGAATGGACGGATTCTGCCGTTCTGACCTTGCTTCGGACATGGTTGAGGGATTGGAGATCCTGTACGCCTCATCTTCGTAGAATATCTATCTTGTTTGACTATATAGAGACAAACAGTGGGGAATGGCCCCCAGAATTGAGGCACCAAGTCACGGAGCTAGGTGCTCAAGCTGGAGTCTCCCTCGACTTAGTCGAATGGAAACGCGAGTGGTAAACTTTATCATACATCCAGAGCCACTAGGTCATATGGCTCAAAGCCACCCAAAATTATGACCATTAATCCTTATTTCTTGCTGTTGCTGCTCGTATCAGGAGAGTAGCATAACTGGATCTGGCTCCTCTTCTCTATACCACCCGCAATCTCACTCAGACTGAACTCTTTGAACTCTTTGTTGGCATCCACGACATCAATGCCGTACTCCTGAACAAATGTGCTGCATCCGAATTTCTCCTATGAACAGATCGATTAGCACCCAGCCAACAGAATCCTAGGAAGGAGTCGAAGGGTAAAAATGCATCCACTCACTCCTTTATTATCCGTACAAGGATCAGTCCTTTTACCTCCCACAATAGTAGCAACCCTTGGCTTTTGGGAACTTAAAGACTTGCCCGGATGCACCAAGTAGTACAAATGAGCCGCCATTTCCTCACCACACTTGCCCTCATTTTTATGGATCGACTCTTTCCCAAAATCCCTCCGCCAAGTAACCTGACACCGCTCCAGAGCCTTAGCAACAGGAGTATCCGTATAATAATACGAGAACGACTCGCCTTTCTGCGACGAAGCGAGTATGAGTTCGTGATCGAATGCAAGGACCGTCATAGCTTTGCTTCTCTGTCTCTTAGGGATTAGGTAGGCTTCCTGGCTTGCTTGCATCTCATTGTAATTGTATCCCGTGAGTGCGATCTGCCAAAGCTGCTCATCCTCAATACCGTTCGTTTCATCGTTGACCAGTCCCTCGAACTTGAGATGGCTGCTGAAGACCCAATTTCGGATGACCGTTGAGTCCTTTGGATCCACGTTTGGCCAGGTCCTTGCGTAGTAATTGATCATTTCCAGTTGAAACTAGTGCAGGGTCGACCCAGGCAATGATGTATTTAGGAGTGAGCATCAAATGAGGAAGATTGGGTTCTACTGAATAAGCCATATAATGTAACCATGCAGAGTAGAAGGACTCGAGGCATACGGTAGTTGCAATTGTTGCAAAGCTTCAGCATCCGAGGCTCAATTGGCATTGGAAACCCTGAAGAGTTACCTAATCTGAGTCACTACTTTTATCTCCCATCTAAGGGTCCCATTCATCTTGAGATGATTGACTGTGCTAACCCAGTAATAGTCAATAAAACTCCAGACACGGCCTCTGACAGGACACACGGAGAGATAAACCACTATATCGCAGGAATCTTAGATCCACTTTTACGATCCCCGTATGTTACTAGGGAATTTTCCTGTAGACGGTGGAACATCAAGAACTGTCTGATAGGCGTTACTTGGACACTATGCGCTAAGGCAGTTCGCGATAGTAGTGCTAAAGTACAGTCCTTGGCATCCGATGAGATACCTGGGTGGATATGGAGTCTAGGGCAGCGCTAGTTCAGGAACTTGACTGTCAATAAGAACTAGATTTGACTATCGGTTATGTGTTTTACCTTATCCGTGGACCCTGGATCGCTATCATGTGGGACTACACAAGCTTCAGCCCTGTCAGAGTCGCGGAAAAAGTGTCACATGTGGGTTCTAATTTCGGGTCCTTTTCGGGAAATCCTCTCCCATGATTCAACCAGTCTGATGTCTACATTGGGCGTGGACCTCGATGGGCCCTGTCCCCGTCTCTCGGAGTGGCTACACCTGGACGTGGGAGCTTCCCATCGAATCTGATACTGTCGACACGAACTACTTTGTCGTTGAGGCACAGGGATAAGGACCCCTGACCAATGTCTTCCATCTATGCCCCAGTACCTGGGACGACGCCACCCTCAGCAGCGGAGCCTACTGCACGGGAAATTCACCGTAAGATTGTAAAGGCGCGACGCTCTGCAGTACTTTGAATGTCAAGTGGTGCGACAAGACTGTCAACCAGATGAATCGTGGCTCGACACTCTATACTGCCAACGCAGAGGCCCTCGCGCCGTCTGGTAACTGCTGGGCCAATTGGGAGCAGTTCGGCTGCTCGGTGAAGATCCGCGGTAAGGACGAGAACGGCAAGGACTGCACAATTACTGGTGATGAGATGTGGGAGGCCTTTCAAGATATCTGCAAAGTTGGCGGGCGCAAAAAATGTGGCAGCAAGCACTTTGGGAATGGCTGCCTGGTCAGCGTAGATTACTATTATGGATGTGATAATAGGGATTCTGGAGTAAACGCGATAGACGTTTGAAAAGCCGGAGTTGGTCTAATAGGATTTGCTTGAATACATGCAACATATAGATTCAGATACAATTGACTTCTTAAGGTTCTATCTTATACTGTGGATATATGGGAGTTGCATACTTCGAAACCGTGCCAGGCTAGGCAGGCACGTATCAATTGTGACAATAGCCAACTTTGGTGAATAGCTGCTTCCTAGTACTCAGGAAAGTGTCAAATCAATGGCCCACAACCAGCTCGTAAGAGTGCATCACCTGAAGTTTTGCTATATTCATTCACCTCAATCCAGTCTTCTACTGTTGGTTGTTATTGAAACAGCGATTGACAATGAACACAAGTAATTGAGACAATGGGACTAATTGCACCCATTGCATCTACATGTAAGTGTGCCATGCTCCATTGATATAACCACTCTACCTACTCGCTTCATTTTCGGGATCTCATACTATCCTTTGATGTCGAATACATCCGAGCAGACAAATCTCGGAACTATTAATTCTTTACATTACCAGCAAGACCACCAACGATGTGGTAGAGAAACAAACAAACGAGCAAACATATTCTCTGTGCTGACACTAAAAGGGCAGGTGAGAGTGACTGTAGTCCTTCTTCACTTCGGGTGATAGATGTTTACTGATCGATCCGTGGTTCGTTCACAGGGCAGATAGCCCAGACACAACACGTTCCTTGACCAGAAGTACGGCATCAAATAATTATCCATCACCCAGAAAATGAACCTTCCTCATTCAACAGTATCAATATGACCCAGATAATCACCAGAGCCATCAAAAACCAGATTCAATCTAGCTATTCCTATCCCCAATACCTCCAAATAAAGCTAAACCACAACCACCAACCAGACATACACAACTATAAGATCTATACTATCAATAATGCAACCTCAAGCCGAAGGCGAGGACCAACACGAAAGAGGAAGAGAAAGAGAAGCCCCAAGCACAAGGACAAGCACAAGCACCACCCCCCGACCTTCAGCCCATCCCAACCCAGACACCACTCCCATCTCCACCACTAGACGCCGTCCGACGCCGTTCCCTTCACACCTCCCAAGACCCATCGTCCCTCACCCAGCATCCAGCAGAGGAAGCAGAAGAAGGACCCTACCACCACCACGGCCCGAACAACTAGCACGACCACTTCCACGTCACCGTCTCGACTCCCCTATTCCATCACGGCTCCCGCAAAGAACCTCAACATCCACCACTATAGAACAGCCCACACCTCCACGTACACGCCTCGAACCAGTCACCACAGCCCAATCATACACATACTGGCTCGGACGACTCATGACCGTCCTCAACGCCATACTTTACGCAGACTTATTTGATGCACCGGATCCAGTGACGGGCATTCGTCCACCAAATGCATTCTCGATGACCGTGTCAAGGCATGGGTATTCTCAGCGGGCAGCGGCTATTTCTGCGTTGGATAGGGGTGTCACGGGGAGGTTTAGGAGGGCGTTCATGATGCTGGAGGATGCCTGTAAGACGGAAGACGCGAAGCGGAGTTATAGGGCGTTTGGGTTGGCGTTTGAAAAGGCCCATGGACCCTGTGGTCAGCGTTTCAGGGAGTAGTATCCTACTAGTCGTAGTTGGGTTGTTTAGTCCATTATTGGTGGAGAGGCCGTGAGGATTAGGAGAGTTGTGTTCATGTTGTATTACTAGTATATATGATGCGTGGTGGTCTTGCTGTGCTTGTGCTAGGGACGGACAGATAGTTACCATCATATCACTATTAATAATCCTTGTCTATTTCATTTAATTATCACACTTTCTTTTCTTCTATTTTGATTTTCCCAGCTATTATACAGTTTGTAAGACCCCACCTCACAATCGCATTTCTCCGAATTGGGTGGGTTATATATCATCAGTTTCATAAAAATGTCCCGAGAAGCCAGAACGCCGAGCTGCCGTACCTCTATGCAACGCAAGAAGCCATAACTTTGCTATAATAATATATTCTTTTTTCAGCTTCATGAAACCATTTCAGCCAACACCTTTTTAATGGGGTTGATGAACCCTCAGCTTTATTTGCGGCTCCTCAGGAACGCAGCCACTTGTTCATGCCTCGTCACGAAGAACATGCGTTTGCGATCCGACTTCCATGCCAGAACACCAATTTCCTCTGCATACCGGCATGGGGCCTCGTATTCTGCCAGACTGACAAAGTCCTTGAATAGGAATCCGGATGTAGCCTTGACACGGTCCCGCTCCAGCTGCCAGAGACGAATCTGGTCCACCACGGTGGGCGGGAGGACTGACGGGGGTATCCCGGCCTGGTTCGACGTCGAGCGGGAGACGTTGTGCTTCCGCATTTGCGGATGGGCGTGAGTAGAGAGATAGGAGATGATTTGGTCGGCAGTGATGCCCATCTCGACGGCTCGACGGACGGACTGGCGGGTGATTTTGCCGGTGATGAGGTTGGGGAAGCGGTATTTCAAGGTGGTGAACAAAGCAATCAGGGAGATCTGTAGGGGGGATGAGGTGTATGCGTATACACGATAGTTGGTTTCGATGATAATGAAGCCCGTACCCGCTTTGCTGGAGGCTTCGCCGGCAGGACCAGAGAGGGAGCCCAAGAGCGGGTTGCTCAAGGCGCTGGAATCGGATGTGAGCGTCGTTGCAAGACGGGTGGGGTAGAAACGCGGTGCATCGGGCGATTCTTGATAGACGATACCGAAGTCGGCAAGGTCGGTGAGCATGCGCAGTTGTTTCGAACTGAGGTGGTTCTTTTCGTATGATTTTCCGAGTTCGAGACTGCTGAGGAGGAACACGAACGACAGGACCTCCACACTGTCCATCTTGATGGCGCTGGCGCTCTCGACGTAGAGAATCAATATGTGCCACACCTGCGTGCTGACATCTTGCAGGACAAAGGCGAAACCATCCTGGGTGATTTCGACACGACGATCTCGGATCTCAACCAGATGACCCGCCTGCAGGAGCTCCTTCACGCCTTTGCTGAGGGTCACTTGGGGAGCTCCCATGCCTCCGGTACCGACCATGTATCCCAGCACTCCTTCCCACTGTCGTCGCGCATATTCATCGAGATCGGATATTGAGACTTCTGAGCCAGCAGGCACGTGTGAAAGGACGCCAAAGGATTGTGTCTGGTCGGCGCCGGTGAGAGCATGTCGCAATGAGGTGGCGAACGGGTCGGTGACTTTGTAGGCGCGGACATTATCCGCTGTGACAGTGTTGGATAGGATATGCAGTCTCCCTAGGATGGAGAGCGCATTGTCGCGTTCTCTGTGTGAGGCTTGTGTTAATCACAATCGCCGCGGAGGCCTTCCAGGGTGCTTGCCCAGCACTTACTTCAAGCTTTCTGATTTAACCCAAGCCTCCAGATCCGCCGCGGGGAGCGGATCCTTCAGGTAGAGAAGTGCCATGACAAAGCATTTTGCTAGTCACGCAGTCAGTTGACGAAGCACTGGGATGGTAAATGCACATGCGACACATACCCAGATCAGGCAGCATGCGCCTGAAAATGGCGAGAGCCGTCGATGGCTGCTGGTAAAGTTTGTAAAAGACGGTGCCAGCAAGGCTTTCGAGGTATTCAAAGGGACGAGAAGATGGTGCGGCAGCCATCTTGTCTGCAGGAGTCACCGCTGCAGCATGATGCGGCGGGAAAGAAATGGGGCGTTGGAGCTGAAGCCAAAGAAGAGAAGGAAACCAACCAACGCCTGGGATTTGAAAGTTGGAGACGATCTGCCCCAAAGCGGAGCTGCTCCGGCGCGCCAAACAGGCCCCAAGCGCAATCAATCGGCCGCCGCGATGATCTCGCTTTAAACAATCATCTATCTATCTATCTATCTACTTTGTAAGAAGCTTCACTCTCATCTCTGCCCCAATTTCATTTCCGTAAAAAATGACTGCCTTGCGTTTTGTCCGCTCTGTGAGTTATTTACCTAGTCTTGCACTACACTGAGAAATTATGCCTGTACTAACATGAATATATATTTGCAGGTTTGGGAGTCCTTTCGGGCTAATTCGGGGCTAGAGCCTCGGTAAGTCATAGAAGCAGACTGCTTTATTCATGCCTGTCCTGGGTTCAGCTTACTGACTGAACATCAATGGAATTGGTGATCTAGTCTGCTAGACAATGTAAGTTTATATGTCGGGATGGCACAACCAGCGTCATCCAGAATCATCCTCAATGGATTCACGTTCGGCTGAGGCTTCACTGCAAATCGGTCCCGGGGACACCCGTTGATACCGGCTAAATGCTTCGGAACTCTATACTAACTATGGATCCTGTCGCATCCAGCTTCGTGTGACTGCTGCCAAACCTGGGTTGGTCAACTTTGAGCTCGATATCAAGAAGGAGCACACGGTAAGCCATAGATTTGCAACTGTTCTACTTGGTGACTGACTTTAACCAGAACCGCCTGAACATCCTCCATGGCGGCACGATTGCGAGCATGGGTAGGCCACATGCAAACACCATTTCACATTGAACACGCCCCTGCTAACACCCAATGACACAAAGTGGACCTTGGTGGCTCCCTAGCTGTCGCTTCCCGTGGTCTTTTCGCGACCGGTGTCTCGACCGACCTGAATGGTGAGCAGACAGCAACTTCTACTTTACCCGAAGACCTCTAACAAATTATACAGTGACGTACCTCAGCTCTGGTGGTAAAGTAGGAGACAAGATCCTAGCGGTATGTTTCAATGCCCTCTCTTTTCGTGGTCATGACCAAAAGGAGGAAAAGCATGTACAGACTAACCCGCTGCATGTGTAACAGGAAGTCAGCTGTGACAAATGTAGGTTTCCTGAACCCACTTAAAAGGCTGCATATACTTACAGTCATCTGCAGTTGGCAAGACCCTTGCATACACGTCGATCAAATTCGCCAACACTAAGGGTGAAGTCTTCGCCAGGGGAAGCCACACTAAGTCAGTATTCGCATACAAATATATATCTCTTCACTCACAGAAGGCATTGATTACTGATGTTCTACTTATCAGGTTTGTCGCTCTAGCATGGAAAGACCCTCAAAACATTGTTGAGGAGATCAAGAAGCTTGAGTCCGAGTCCTCATCATCTTAGGTTTTTATTACACATGTCTGGTGCGTCTGCTCAGGCGAGCTTATTGTTTGCTACTGCATCAACCACTAGCATCTTCTTCGGCCGGGCACGATAGAGCACATGGATTAGAATGGGGCATAGAGATTTTTCATGTATATAAAGCGGAACTACATAGCCAATTCTACAGGCTCTTCTTCTATAGTAATACTAATCCTGCTACCAGGCAAATTTACCGACGCACACGAAGTAGCAAAGAAAGAGAAAGAAGCCATCACAACCATTCAGTCATTCAAATAAAAGCCCAGCCATCCAAGTCCATTCATATATGAAATTTGGTCAGGAATAGATGGAGATCGGGGTTCTTAGCAGTATAAAAGAAGAGCATGTGGCCTGCATACACACGTACTGAATGACCGGCATACAACAAGAACAAGAAGAAACAGATCACGCTTCAGTGAAAGTATGTTCGTGCAAAGGATCATCATCGCCCTCCTCCCCAGCCCCAAGCATGACTTCATCCTCATCCATCACAACCTCCTCGTCGCCTCCCACATCCATCTCATTGTTAACAGCGGTTTCTCCACCCATGGCCTTGAGCTTTGCCTGGGTCATTTCGAAAACGTACTGGCCGAGATGTTCGACGCTTTCCATCGGAGTGCCCTGGACTTCGTCGTCCAGGGAGCGCGCAGACGGGAACATCTCACCGGGGGCAAGCATGAGCTTGTCTGGGCGCTGGAAGAGTAGGTCGAATGCGGGCTTGAGCTCGTAGCATGACTCGAAGACCTCGCGACGACCGAGGATGTACAGACCAAGACGTGCACGGGAGAGTGCAACGGTCAGACGACGGACGTCACGGAGGTATCCGACGGTGCGGGTTCGGGTGAGGGAAAGAATGACGTCTGGGTTGACGTACGAAATCAGTATAAGCGCTTCTTCTACGGAGTGGGTTGTTTCTATGGAAAAACTTACAGTCGTTCTGTTCACCTTGATACTTGTCCACCGTCGTCACGATCTTGGGCATGCCAAATAGTCCGTTCTTGGCACAGCGGTGATTCAAGACATCCTTGATCAATGCCGTTTGGCCTGCATACGTGGCAAGGATGGATATCTTGGATGCTGGGTATCCAAGGAGGCGCATGTACTGGTAGATGGCAACGGCATACTCGGCCTCTCCCAGATTCTGGATGAAGTGGGGAGTGGGTTCACGTTCGCCCGTGCCCTGGTAGTCAGGCACGTTGATGAACTGGTACTCGTACTGGAAACCGGAGTTGGCTTGCTTGAACGCTGGCGCCGTCTCAACGGCAGGCAGGTTTCCAAGTTGCTGATAACGCCACCGGAAGAGTTCCGCAATGCTGGGTCTCGCGCGGCCCTGCTGGTCCAGTGTGATAACAGGAACGCCCAGCCTCACCAGCCGGAGGAACAGACTTTGCTCAAAATGGGCGTATTGCCGGAAAGCCATGTTTTGAATGATGGGAGAATTCTGGAGATGGTCACCGCAAAGGACTACTCGCTTCAGAGGAAGTTCGCCATTCTTCATGTTCTGCAGAGCAGCGGGGATGAAGCTCTCGATCTCTGTGATCTGAGCCGCCTCTTCCATGATCACATTGTCATAGTGGAAGCCGAGATCGGCGATTTCCTGGCGACGCATGGCAGCATGCGTTGATGTCATTGCGATAATCCTTGCCTCCTTCACAAGCAGATAGTTGGCCTTATCCTTGGGCTGACGTAGGATTTCGAATGGACGAATGTCTTCCAGCTCGGAGAAGATTTTTTCAATGTGCCGCTGGCATCCCTCAGCCACGTCAAGGAGTGTCTCCTTTGTCGCTGTCGCATCAAAGACAGGTTGAGGCGCATTGGCAAAGTATGTATGGAACGGGAAGGCCGAGATGATCTCTTCGGTCGAAGCGCTTTCACTGCGAGCCTGATCCCAGAACTTGGCCCACGCAGGTTGGATGTAGACTGTGTTGAAATATCCGGCAGTTTCGCACGAATTGCCATGGGCACCTTGTGCTCCAATGGATGCTGCTAGCCGAATGACCTCGCCGAGGAAGTGATTGCGATTCTCAAGGAAAGATTCCACGCGTCCGTACTTGCTGTAGCTGGTTTCAGTCTCTAGCTCCTCTTCACCATGACCGAGACGGAGGAGATGACGTTCGTCAATGTCCAATGCGACAATCTTCTGGAAAAGCTGGTTCAGTGCTTGATTGCTGTGCGCAATAAGTAGCGTGCGTTCATTGGGGAAATCGTGATAGATGTTATTGATGATCTGCGTCGCAACATCCGTTTTCCCTGTTCCAGGAGGCCCGACGATAACGGTCAGCCCTGGTTGAGTGCCTGAAGCAATGGCCTCCACCTGCGCTGGAGTAAATCGAACGGTATTAAGTTTGGGCGCGTCAATTGGATACGGGCCTGGGTTGGGCGGCTTGTATGTGGAGACGCGAAGAGATTTGGGTCCTGCTTCTCTCTCGGCCTGTTCCCTCCGTCGCTTCTTCGACGTTTCCGCCGAAGGTATCTTAGAAGGTTCTTCAACGTACTCAACTACGTACGGGGGACCAAAGCTTGATGCTTCCTCCTTGGATGGTTCTATGGCTGAACCGGGCAAGCTCTCAACGAGATGCTGCCAATCCAAGAATGTGTCCCGGAAATCAACTGACCTCAATCGGTTAGGCAGTTGTGTGTATTGAGCACCAGCAGGATCTCCGTAACCCAAGAAGATATCCTGAATCCAGGAGGGAAGGGTGATATCCGAGACAATGAGTTTCTGCATCGTCTCAAGAATGGACTTGAAGTTATTCTCTCGCCCCTTCCGTCTGGCTACCACGTTGATCAACGGGTATACATCTGGCTTTCCTCGCGTAAGGCCATCTTTGTCGGCTTTGAAGGCAGCAGAGTCCAGGTTGACCAGTAACTTCCGCACACGCGGCCTATATCTGTGCCCGTTCGCTTGGCCTGACACAGGCTCGCGCAATGGACGACCGTTCTCATCAAGTACTTGCACAACCTCTGCTGTTCTAAGATACTTCAGGCCGGGGGTCTCAGGCTCTCGAAAGCCAGGCTTTCCTGCATCATCTGACTGCACAGCCAACAAGAAGACCACGTCATCTGGGCGAAGTGATTCCCACTCCATCCGGATGTGGTCGGCCAGTCTACCCACTTCGATAGCTATTTCAGCCCTGACGAACGCAGGTTTTGCCGAACCGACCTTGGGAGGTGCCACTTCGATGATGGCAGGCTTCGTAATGGGGATGGCCATCCTTGAGAAACCGTCGAAGTTCAATGTCTTGCCGTCCCGGCTTGCACGAGGTTGCATACGTTTGACGATCGACTCCATATCCTTGCGGATTTGGAAGAAAGCCTCTGACCGATAGAGCAAGAAGGAGCGCCACAAGAAGTCACCGGTGCTAAGATACTGGAGGTTTAATTTGGGGATCGCAAGTGGCCTGGATCCATCGTATGTCTCGTTGCGGAGCAAAGTAGGGTCGTAGAGATTTTCCTCGGTGGGAACAATGCTGAGCTGGGAGGCAGCTTCCTGGAATGTCGTCTTTTTTTCATAGAAAGACAAGAGAACCTCCATGTACAGATGACGATCCGGCGTTATTTGAGACTGTTTCGGATAGTCTGTACGGAAACCAAGATGCGAGCACAAAACTCGAAGCTCAGATTCCTCCAAGGTAGCTAATTGACCTTCTAGTTCAGAGCGTTGTTCAATCGATCCGTAATTGGAAAGAGCCAAAATCATCAACTTGTCCTTGAAATACTTCATAGAGGTTCTTTGCAGACGTGCCAACTCCTGGCAGTGGGCATCGTAGATAGCTTGGGGTGACAGAGCCTCCCCGGTGAAGTCATCAATTGCAAACGCGCTGAAATGCTCCAGAAGACCACATAGATCACGGAACAGCGCGCTGTCTGCAGAGCGGTATAGTTGCGACAGGCGGATGACGGACAGGAAGTTGAGGTCTTTCAAGAGCGTGTTCACATAGCGCCTGGTAGGAGGCTGGCTTTCTAGATCCACAAGGAATTCAAGTAGTCGTTCGCAGTACCGCAGATTATCCGCCTGCTCTCTTTCGGGCCCATTCAATCTCCGGAAGAAATCCAAAAGCATGGTGTATAGCCACGATCGCTCAAAGCGCATCTTCGCCTTGCTTGCTTCATCTCCTGCATCGTACCTTTTCCCTGCGGCTCTCCATGCTTTCTTCAATCCCGAGCTCCTCGCCAATAAGCGGTCTCTTGCCTCTTCGCTCGACAGGTTGTGCCAGATGGAGATCGAGACCAGTGGTGCACATTCTTTGCGTATCAACGGATTCTCGACGGACTGGAAGGCGCTAATAATGAAAGAAACTATCGACAACCGGGAAGAAGTTCCGAGGGAAGGATCGACGCTCATTGAAAGGATACGGTGGAAAAGGTTGGAGAAATCCGCCGGTCGATCGGAGAAGATATCTGATCCTACATCAGCAATTCATATTGTCCCAGTAGTGCAAACCATTCACATACCCCAGATCGGCAAATGTTCCCGCTGCTTGACGCTCACAATCAAGGCAAGCAGGAGCACATGGTAGTTCGAGGCATCTTCCGTGTAGGTCGGCCAAAGAAACCTGTTCGCGAGTTAGGCATTGTCGAAGAGGGGAAGTCCGAAGAAGCATTGCGGGAGATGCGCACTTTTCCAGGATATTGAGATTCTCTAGCGTCAGAAGCGACCTGAAGCTGAAATTCTCAGCCTCGAGGGGATCCCAGAGGTCCTTTTTAAGAACATCCTGCTTGACTTTGCGGGCCTTGGAACCGTCCAGCCAGTGGGATTTGGCTAACCGCACCCATGCGCTGTCTTCGCGGAAGTCCTCCACAGTCGGTCTGGAGTCAAGGCCCTGCGCCATTGCCTGACGAGTTTGTAGGCCCATTCCGAGACGTTGGGGAGGATTGCTTGAAGGGACTCCGGGGGCGCGGATCCGATTTATCTGCGCAAGTGGTCCGTGGCGGGCGGCGGGATTGGGAAAGCTTCTGGCGCGCGCGTGTCGGTCGATACTGTTAGTAGTTTCCTTAGTTAAACCTCCGGCGGCTAGAACCCGCAGAGCCGCAGCTGCTTGCTTGCTTGCTTTATTCCCTTTCCCTCTTAACACTCGAACCTCCTTTTACCTCTCTACGCTCGCAACGACTTATCATCCAGTCCTCTAGCTTTCAGCATGGCGGACGTTGATGTCGGCGCGATCCACGCCTACAGGAGGCTGATTGACGATCTCCTAAATCGCGCAGAACGTGCCAAACCGGACAATCACATCGAACCCCCTCTGACAGAATCGCAGCTGGGCGATTCAATCTGGCTCATCCATGGAGACGACGAACAGTTGGCAGAGGGCCTCAGCCAGCAGACTCAGTTTGCTGCTGTAGAAATAGCATTTCGGGAGAAGTTCTACAGTCTTCTTGTATAATATCCCCTCCCAAAACTCAAACTCCGATTCCTACAACAACGTCGCGGAAGCAAGAGCATGGCTAATCAGGAATTGACCCGCAGGCTTCTACCTCGATCGAAGACCCTTCGTTTATCCGCATATGGAACCTCCTCGATATAATCTCAATCTTTTCGGATAATGGTCAGTTCCTGGTGGAATTGTGGTTGTGAATGTTGCCCTGACATCTTCGCAGAGCAGTGTGAGCCCGGCCTCATCTTCTGGCTGATCGAGGAGTTACTTGACAGCCAAACCATTGACGGCTGTCGGAAGGTGTTTGATTATCTTGAATCACGAAGAGAGCGGAATACTAAGGTAGGTTCGCTGGTTGAGCCATTGTCTTTTGCATCGCATCTGTTGACATCGCCGCAGAAACACTTTAAGCAAAAGAGTCTAATCATCCTACGCTCCTGCAACGAGCTACTACGCAGGCTTTCACGGGCTGAAGATACAGTCTTCTGCGGGCGCGTCTTCATCTTCCTCTTCCAAAGCTTCCCCCTCGGTGATAAGAGTGCCGTCAACCTTCGGGGTGAATACCATACGGATAATGTTACTACTTATGATGAACTTACCAAGGCCGCCGCAAAGGATGTCGCCGATCCGGATGTGGAGATGACAGATGAACCAGAGGCGCCAACAACGACCGAAGGCCTGAAGGAGGATAGTGAAGCTCAAACAACATCTGCGAGCGAATCCCATACACCCGCGCAAGAACCTCCTAAAACCCCACGGGTGGTCGTTTCTAGCAGTAAAGATGAATCTCAGGATAAGGGCGTGGATCTTGATGATCTGTATCCCATATTCTGGGGCCTGCAGGCCTACTTCTCTGCCCCGACCAAGACGTTTGATCCTCAGCATTTTGCCAAATTCAAGACCGGGCTGGAAGCGACCCTCTCTGCTTTTAAGAATGTGGACACAGACCTCGAGAACTCGAGCAACAGCAAGATGTCGGAGGAAATTCGAAAGTCCTCCAAGCGGAAGCGGACTACCGATGGACAGGAAATTGCGAGCAGCTTCAATCCTAAGTACCTGACAAGCAGAGACTTGTTCGACCTCGAGGTACGCGATGTTAGTTAAGGTCCTTCGAACCGTCCACTAATGCATTATCGCAGGTCAATGACACGGCATTTAGGAGACATGTTCTTGTCCAGGCTCTCATCCTTCTTGATTTTATGCTTTCTCTTACGCCAAAGGCAAAAGCCAAGCTAGCTGATTTGACCAACAAGTCTGTCCTTTACGGCTTCGTGTTGAATGACGATGATGTAAGGCTCGGTTGTGTGATTTTCCGTTGTTTAGGATGCTTGCTAACGATATCAGGCCAAATGGGCTGTCAAGATGAGGAAGGCGATCGAGGAATATCTTCAGGAAGGTATCGGTGGTAAATTCTACTATCGTATGGTGGATACCGTTCTTTCAAGGGACAAGAACTGGGTGCGCTGGAAAGCAGAGGGTTGTCCGTTGATCGAGAGGTCGCCCGTTTCTGTATCGGAATACCTAGGCGCTCGTGAGCATGCCACAAAGGTCTATGCAAACAAGCGCCTCCGTACCTCTCCTATGGGGTCACTTGATCTGAAGTTTCTCTCTGAGGGTGAATCGCTGGCAGGGCTGGAAAGACTCAAGGATCCGGAAAGGTAGGCGTCCCCGATCCGTAGAATTATCCGCTAGCTATGGGCTGACGCAGCGTAAGATTCTCCGTTCCTGCTGCTGATTCCTTGATGATGGGAATCATGGACGACGAGTTAGATATCGACACCGCACAGACGAAGGAGGATAGAGACTATGCCATGCGTTCAAAATCGAGCAAAACCTGGCGCATACTACGGCTGTCCGCGAAAAGCAAACTTGCTGAGTTTGAGAAAATTGAGGACGGCAAAAACCTGAAGATTCTGTTCGAAACCCCCCAGCAGGCAGACGGTACACCGCAGGCTCTAGAAGGTACACCTCAAGCCTCAGAGAAGCCACCAGCGGGAAGCGAGTCCACTGGGCATGGGCAAGAGCCTGGAGCTTCCAGCACCGAAAACGAAAACTCCGCTATTGCCACCGAACAGACTCCAGCTAATTCGGTGGAAGTAGCTGCCCCAGAACAGCCAAACGATGTGAACAACGCCACTTAGCGCTCTATGAAAAGAGGTGACCGGGGCAGTGAACATGATTGTGATTGGCTTCAAGCTGACGCTTTCTGACGATCGGTCACACACTGTCCTGCGTTGGATCCAATGCAGTTAGTGATCCATGGTAGTCCTGGGTATATGCAACCGAATCACAACACTAGAACAGATGCCTTGCAGGCACCTTGGGTGCCTGAGCCACTGCAGGTTTAGCCAGTGCGTTTGCATTGCTTTGGCCTAGTGCCAGTCAGAGAGAAGTATGAAGCCATGAACGGCGCGATCAGGTGGATGGGAGGAAGGCGGTAGTAGTCACGAGGGAGTTAACTGGGAGATTACGGCGGGGATGATGGTCGGATTGATTGGCCTCCTGCGGCGCCTGGTCCTGAGGCTGGCATGCAACCGTCTTGACTTCGTCATTCTACTAGGGGACACCAAGGGCCTACTTGGTCGCGACCATCAGCAGCCACTCATGGGCAGCGGTCCCAACTCTCACCCTATCCTTTTTCGAGATATTCCTCCTAGTCTGTGGCGACAACGAGGAAAGCATCCGTCTATGGTTGGCCTTCGCACATACTTTTCCTTTCTTGTCTCTGCTGTCTTTTCTGCCCCTCCTTTCTGTGTCTGCATGCGGGGCCACAGCATAGCCCCCTTCACCCCCCTCTTTGCTGTTTGCATTCTTCAGAGTTCAGGGGTGTTCTAGATACGTTGATGGGTGGAAGTGTTGCACAGAACCGACCAGGATATTAAGGGGAGGGGGTAAAGAAGAGGTGGGAAGCTGTGGACTGCATGATAGCGCCGTCCACCGGAAATTGAAGGTCACCGGGCATCCACCGCAGGCGCGACTGGGGGATTCCTCTGACGTTTTCGAGTAAAAGCGTGTGCAAAATTGTGTGCACGACTGCAAGTGGCCACATCGGGTGCTCTTCGGGTGATCAGGATAATCAGCGTACTGAATAATGAAAGAACCCCTTTAGCCGATTGTGACCCAAAGCTTTAAGCTATGAGGGGACAAAACCCTCCTTGATCAGCAACTTTAATTGCACTGGGGAGTTCCTGCATAATCCCATCAAGCTCGGTCCTGTTGTTCGAGACAGGAAGAAGGCACTCGCACGACGGCTTGACAGCGCTGTGGGTTCGCGGATGGAGTTGGGCTTTCCCCGAGAAAAACCTGTCATGCGAGATTGCAGTGCCATGGCTGGGGCCAGTGCGCGCATATAGAATATTGCCTTAAGTTTCAAAGAGCAATAATGCAATCAACTGTGAAGACGACCTATCCATTTGGCTCCAATTAGTTAAATTAGAGGAGGCCCAGTCGGGGGGAGGGCCAAATGTATGACTTGTCGTCAGGGTCCTTCTGGACGGATCGCGAGGCCGATCATTTTTTCAGTCAGACCCCCGGGGACATCCACAGGCCAGGCGATGTATGTTTATTGCCTAGTGTAGTATAGACTAGAGAAGTGGTCGTGATCGATGTGCAACTACTGGGTAAATAGCGTAATGGTGGCCGGTGCAATACCGTAGTAACCCAGCAGCTCCGACACAGTAGATAGTTACCGAGTAGTGACTAGTAGATGACCCCGACTGATGATGATCGGATAAAGCAAAATAACCGCTGCTTGGCTTGCCGGGATCAAGGATCTGGTTCTACCGATTGAGAGCTGCCAGATCGATGATGGCTAAAGCATAGACGTCAATTGACGATACTGACCGGATCACAGCCCTGAGAGTCATGATTTCATATCCATGACATCGTTACCGATCGTACGTAGTGTTCAGTGTCTTTCGGTCTCACTGTCACTTTCCTCTGCTTCCCCTTTTCAGCCCCCTTTTCTGACCTTGTGTGGATGAAGTCTTCATTAATATGAGTACCATCTATCTCCGTACTAGATTGCAAGTCCAATACGTGTATGGCTCAGGGGTGGAAGGGAGCTGAGAGGAATTGGGCACATGGAATCATTGAAGACAGTGAGATGACCAAGGAAGGCCCATGAACGGGACCCATGGAATCCCATTGTAAACGATGTTTCATGTTAAAGCCGATGATGACCCGCACGGACCAGATGCGCTGGAGCCATGGAAAAAGTATGGATGGCTTCCGGAACCTGGCTCGATTAGACTAGGATATGGATCCCGGTAGCGACCCGAGTCATGCAATTGTACTTGAAAATTGTTGTTGATTATTGTGATTGTTGGTTGTGTCTCTTGCTCGCTGTTGAGACTGCTGCCATTATCATCATCATTGTGGTTTGAGTGAATGTCATTGTTTGCACTTTCGGACCTCAAAGAACGACTACCATGAGAAGATTGAGCATGGTGAACCAGCCCAACCCAGCCGTTCCTATCCACACCAGCCGATACAATGTCTTAAGTTAATTTAATTTGTGCGTGGTATTCGAAACTTGTTGACGGCCGCCCCCGCGGAGCTTGCGTAATGGAAGGCATTGGCGCTTATCCACCGCCGTTCCTAGAAAGGTCACTAGCCCCAAGCCAGAGGAGGAGACTAGTCCAGTTATCTGCATTCTGCTCATCCTCTCCTTCCGTTCCATCTGGCGCCCATCCTTCACGATCGATGACAATAATAATAATAATAATATGATCGTTTATTAAACCCCCGTGATTTCGGGAAAAGCCTTGTCGGTGCTCCAGGTAAAATTGAAGGGGCCCGCGATGGCGTTTCTTATGACTTGAAAAGCCTTAAGAGAGAAATTAAAGTTGGTCCTCCCCAATCTCTTCGCATCCACTCGGTTCGCTCGATCGGCCGCGATTTGCTTTGGGATCTTCTTTCCCCGCACCGTTGCCAACTTGCTACACGTCGAAAAAAGGGCGAAAAGGCTCATGGCTCAGAGACGGGCTCAGCTGGATCCTCTTCTGGAGCTTCGATCCACTGCCCATGATGGCCCTCTTCTTCCCTCCTCCAGTCTCAACCTTTCGCTACCGCAGTGGGTGGCGGCTCCCGTGCTGAGCTGAAGGATCATGCCATGGAATATCCACACCAGGTCTTTCCCGAGATGCTCACTCGAAAGCCTACTGTGATTAATAGGGCCTCGAGATCGCAGACGCGCGAGGGATCCACTATCCAGCCAGCAGGAGCTGAGGGTCCAGCAGATCGGTCCTTTGCAGTTAAGCCAGTAAGAAAAAAGGGCCAGGGTTGACTGAGAATTTAGAGATGGAAAGCGAATTTTCGGAGAGAGAGAGCAATGCATGATGCAGACCCAGCCGACCGAATCATCGTCATGAACAAATTAGATTTGATGATGCTTTGCGTTGCGGCCGAACTCTCAAGCGAGCTCCGAGAGAAAGAAGAAATTACACTCTGGATCCCTAAACCTCGGTCTTTCCTATCTAAGGTTGGGGTTGAAACACGACGACGCACTCTTTCCACACAGCCTGCTTTTTAGTCGATGCCTACGAAAGCAGGAGTAAACCCTGCCTTCCAGGCGTAAAAACTTATCCATCGGGCAACCGTCGCGCGGGATCTTATTCATTTGTCTGGGTCTTTTGGTTTCACTTGCGTCAGTTCCTAGTCCGTCGTTCTGTATTCCCAGAGTCAGGGGAGAAGGCATCGCATTATGCCGTGTCCCCGTTTGAACCGATGCAGGACCTGATACACTTGCTGCCAGATGTCTACGTAGTACTGCGTAGTACTGCGTAGTGCGTAGATAGTATGTACTTGCTCATGACAAGCGCGCTAATCTTATGGTTTTCTGGTTTCAATACAGCCCTATTATTGTTCCCTAGCTCGCTTCTGCTCATTTCCCTTTCGCCCCCGCTTCGTTGGGTCCCAAAAGATTGGATTTCTTGGACATTGATTAATGTCTAGAAGAATATCTCTTTCAATTTTGTTTTTTTCAACAACCCAAGCATCTAATTGGCTACCACACCAAATGTTATCCTCTCAGCTTCGACCTATCATTGCGACCAGGTCAGCACTGGTTCTGATTCATGAATGCATCATGCACGCCTTGCAGATGTCGATGTATCAAATACTCCGGCGTACTCCGTATTCCTAGATAGGAACCTGCCTGCTCAGGACTGTAGATAAAATCCACTCTACCGAGTCAACCCGTATAAAATGTGCGTCATTGATCGGCATAAAACAGGACAACCTAACAATTATGTCGCATTGAAATCTGCCGAGACCACTACTCCTACTACTCTGCTGCGTGGTAGTAAAGTCTAGATCACTGGAAATTTTGATGCTCATTCGGCAGCTAGCCATTCAATCCACTGAAGTTGGTATATTCAAGAGCGCACTTTGAAGTATAGCACTACGACATGTTCGCCAGGCTGTGCTTGTCCTGATAGTAGTACTCAGTTTCTTATGAACACTTATCTACTAGAGGCAGGTGGCACTGCAGGGCTCTGATAGTAGAGCGCTTGCAGAAGGGAAATGAAATGAAGTAGTAAGTTAGTACAACTCCAGTTGGAATTCCACCAGTCACCCTTCATCTGGCTACTAACGATCCATTGTTGATTGTCTGATTATCGGTGGAATTACCTTGGGCCAATGGAGGCGGCAGACGGCCTGCTGAATGTATCCATCCTTACTCTTTAGTAAGTACTTTGTAGGAAGTGGTTTAGTTAGCTAAGGCTAGTAAGACGGACTTGGTTGCGCACCCCGTCGACCCACCCCAGTGGGGAATTCCACCTGTCGGAATCGTTCAATGGCCGTCTTGTCCCTGTCCCTGCGGTGGTGCCTTTTTGTCTTTTCTTTCCCTCTTTCTTTTCCCCTCATTCGCTTTTGTCAAATCTTTTGATCCCCTTCCGATCGGGCAGCCTATTGGCTAGATGGATTGTATTTATTTTTCTTTTTGGGTAATTCTTTGTAGTTGATCGGAAGAGAGTATCCTCCGTACCTGCGGCAGACATCATCATGATAAGGATCACTGCTGAAATTTTACCGGAATTGATCAGGATATTAGTTAGTATCCAGTGCAATATGTTCCCGTCTTCCTGTCGTCCTCCATCTAATCAACCATCCTGATTCATTTGTTGTCTTTTGCAAT